GAGAGTGATTATTCAGTGTTAATATTTCCTATGTTTGAACCACCATGTATTAATGCTGAGGTGATACATAGAATTGAATGCTAGATAAATATGACAAATTTGATAGTGAATCTTCATCAAATGAGATGGTCGGTGAATATATATTACATATGCCGAACCACTGTTTACATCTATGTCCAATGTTTGCTGATATTGAAGTAGGGTGGACGATATCTAAAAGCAGCCTAAACAAAATGTGTCATCAGTGCATGAATTTGTTAACTCAGAATCAGTCGCAATAGTGTATAGATTTACTGACTCCATAGACGCTGAATTCCGAAACCAATTTACATTTTCTATTCTCTTATTCATTCATTCTCTTATTTTCATACTATTTATCTTTGATCTTTTCCACTGCTACTAATGTTGTACCTACTTCTACTAATCTGAGATATTTTGATAATCCCCTCTGGTTTCAATGATTTATTGTGATAAATACGTTATGTTCTATATCATGTATCACTAACACGCTTCCCAATCAAGCCTCATAACTGATATCTTTCACCAAATGTATAACTAATAGTCATATCTTAATTCATTGGAGAATTATTCACTTACCATTTAATTTCCTACAATCGACATTTTTCATGTTCATTTCGTTATTATATTTTGTATATATTAGAATTAATTATTCATCTGGTTAATAATTTTATCTTTGATTTCTAATTACTTAAAGGCCTTAATGAATTATATGATCTTGTGAGATCACTTGGTTACTTGGTCACATTATATCATTACCTTCATTAATCGATTAGCATACTATTCATTGGTTTTAACAATCAAAATTTTGTATCGAACTGAAAAATCACTTCATTATAATAACATTGGCATTCATTTCCTCTAAATCAAATGTTGTCGAGAAAAGAAAGGAAAATGAAATACAGTTCATTAGTCAGCTTCAAATACTCAATTTAAGGTTCTTTGGTCTTTTCCTTTGGCCTTGAGGATTCCAAGTGATGAAGGCTCGACTTGTGACGCAGTTAGGTGCTTTCTTCAATGTGTGTCCTATCCACTTCCAGCGTTTCTTCCTGATTTCTTCCTCCGCCTGAATCTGGTTTTTTCTCTCCCGTAGTAGGTTTTTGCTGATAGTGTCTGGCCAACGGATCCGAAGTATTTTACGTAGACAACTGTTAATAAACACTTGTATCTTCTGGATGATGACTTTCGTAGTTCTCCAGGTTTCCGTCTCACAGTAGAACTGCTTTGACGTTTGTATTGAAAATTATGACCTTGGTGTTGGTTAGCAGTTGCTTCGACTTCCAGATGTTCTTCAGTTGTAAATATGCTGCTCTTGTCTTTCCGATCCGTGCCTTCACATCTGCATCAGATCCTGCATTCATTGTTGCGTGTGCGATAGAAGAGTCAAATCATCTGAGAAATCTAGGTCGTCCAGTTGCATCCTAGCTGTCCACTGTATCCCATACTTCCCCTCAGATCTTGACGTCTTCATGATCCAGTCGATCACTAGAAGAAAGAGAAAGGGTGAGAGTAAGCAACCTTACCTGTTACCTGTCTTTACCCCGAACGAGTCTGTCAATTGTCATCCACGCACAATTTTGCAGTTTAATTTATCACAGGAACAATTCTGAAGCATTCATATTTAATTAAAATAAATTTGTAATTAATTTTATTTTTTTGAAGAAAGGTAACTTACTATTAAATGGAGGACGATAGAAAATGCAAGAAATATTGGAACCTAACTCTACATTGTTTACTAATGCATTTCCACAACAATACATTAATTTATAATGGAATGAAGGTTTTTAAGTTCCGTAGCTAGTAATTGAATTCTAATGGACACAGCACTGTATCACGAATCTCTGGCTTTTAATGATGTCTTACTGCCTTAGTAAGAGTTGAATTTCACGTATTTCATCCAGCATCGTATCTTGGTCGCTTAGCATTCCTAAATCACAAAAGAACAGTTGTCCAATCTTTCAATTGTTGTCAGACAAAACAACCATCTCCATACACAATAAATTTTTTCATAACATAATTCATGTGGTTACTCTACTAAATACAAAACCAATTAAATCTAACCAACACAGATTCCTTTCAAGGTTAATAACACTGTGTTTAACCGACACAACTATTTATAACAATACGAAATAATTAGCAATAAATTACAATGAATTATCAACACCTTGTGTTCAACTGGAATCGATATTGCAGTTTGTTTTCATAAAGATAAACTATTAGTTTCAATTGTTATACACTGAATACTGTAATCCCTATTTTCTTCTTTTTTCCAACATCTGCTAATCCCAGAAACAAATCTTAAGGTGATTGGTTTTTGATGTTTTTATTTACAATGGATAGATATAGTGTACATGCATACTACTGAACACAAGGATTCTCATCCGAGTATTCCTTGGCATACATACAGTTAATACTTAGCTTGTGAGCAAATATACGTTATATGCACACCGGTAACACACAGGTTTTATACCATGCATCTTAAAGCATACATATAAGTATATTCACTCACTTGGGAGGTTAGATGTTCACCGCTCCCTTTGAAACATATTTGCTACAAGAGACTGTCACTTACACATAACACGTATATCATTCAGCCCATGGCTAACACCCCAGTACATCCTGACACACACATAATCATAAGCATTTTCTCGGGGAGGTTGTTGGTAGCCTCCCCGTAGTTTTGCTACTATTTATTTTTATTATGACTTCGACCTGAAAAATTAGGCCGCTGAATTCATTAGACAAAGAGCAGGCAATATTTCAGTTGACGGTTCCATTGTACGAAACCACACGCATGACCTTTGAATATACCCACATTCATGAACTACATAAACCTGAGAACTTCTGCAATTCTTATACATAAGCGTACAAATCAGTTAGCTCGGTGCGATTAAGTGAACTCCGAGTTGGAACCCGAGTTAATCAAGGATACAACGGAATGGATGATTCGTCCGGTCCCCATAAACCGCTTTGATCGGCTGGCAAGGTTGTGCCCCCTATCCAGTAACGCCGAGAGGAAGACTTAGGTCTGATCTAGATGCCTTATTGTTAATCGAATCTCCGCCTGTAGCACTTCTAGTATTACTGTTGGTCCAAGGCCCAGGTAAAGGAGGAGGACTGGGAGTGAGGTTAGAAACACAATCCCATAGAAAACAACCTTGCTAAGAAAACGCTAACCAGAATAAACAAATTAATCCATTTAAACTCTGTTCTCCGGGTTAAAGGATCTTCATCCATGATGAAAGCCAAGATTTTTCCGAAGTCAAGAGGCCGATACCCCTTCTAACAAACAGAGAAACAACTTTTATAAGTACATGGAATGTCTGGACAATAAGGAAGACCGGAAGGACCAGTCAAATAGCTGAGAAAATGAGCAGATACAACTTGACGGTGCTTGGAGTCAGTGAAAATCATTTGACATAATCTGGACAGAAAAGGACAGATTCAAAAGAGATGATTCTGTACTATGGCCACGAAAACGAAAGTGCTGCACACACGTTGTTCTGATGTTGTCCAATAAATCACGTAATGCAATTATAAGATAGGAATCTCATGGATTCAGAATCATCAAAACATACTTCAAAACGAAGGAGGAGGAGATTACAATGAATACTATCCAATGTTATGCACCCACCAATGATAGCAACAACAATGATAAAGATCAGTTTTATGAGAAGCTACAATTGATCATAGAGAAGTGTTCAGGACAAGACCTGACCATCCTAATGGTAGATGATGGTAGAAATTCAGGTCACAAACTGGATACACAAAAGCAAGCAAGCAAGTGAAAAGGAACATTAAAGCTGACAGACAGAAATACGTGGAAGGCCTAGTATGGACAACGGAAAAAGCAGCAAAAATGGAAGTATGAAACAATAATATGACAACGAAGAAACTAGCAGACAAATTCAGTAAACCGGAACGAACTATCAAGAACAAGGATGACAAGCCAATCACTGACATTCAGGGTCAACCAAACAGGTGTGTAGATCACTTCAATGAACTCTTGAATATACCAGTCCCACTGAATCTATCGGACTTTGAAGCAGCACACAGAGACATTGCTATGACTGCCTCTCCAACAATGATCGAGGAAATCAGCATGGTCATCGAACATAGGAAGTGTGGGAAAGCAGAGGGACCTGAAAATATACCAAAGTTGGTTAACCACCACCCTCACGCATTCAAGTATTTCCATGTAACGACAGTAATTAACTGATTCCAGCCAATAGTTGAACCTACCAGAACAGAATCAGTTTCTTGAGTATGGAAAGTGTGCAAACACAGTCACTGAAATTTGACGAGTATCTTGGTTATGTGTCTTTCCCATTGACTGGTAACTTGTATTGGACACTCAAATGTTTTTGATCGCTAATCTATAATCGTCAAGTGTTGTCCAGATTACTCACGTACTTTAAAAAAAACCCATCTCACCAATAGGCTAGAAAATCGTTAATGTACTAATTCAACGAGGTAGATCATTACATTATAATTTGAAACGATCAAATAGATGCGAAAATTGATAGCTAAGTGAGATATGAAAGTATAACCTATCTAATAACCAGTGTTTTTTATTAGCTAGAATAATACCAGTCAACTATTACACAACAATCATTCGAATTCTATTGATACTTTGAATTATGATAATGACTATTTAGTGAGAATGTGGTACTGACTAGAATTCATTAGTGCATTACAGTAGAAGATTCTTGAAAATCGACCGTTATGCATTTCGAAAACGAACCCAGTAGATAAATCGATTACTACACAACTACAAAATGTTTCTAAAAAAATTTGTCATACGCCAATAGAATTTTACATAGCGATTGTCTAATCAGTGATGTATATTTAATAGGTCACATATGTTCTGAATATTGGATGATTTGCTCTTTCGGGTAAAATGGTAAATGTATATAAAGTGAAATTTGAATAAAAGAGAATTTATTAATTGCCAAAATCACTATTCTAAAAAATATAAAAGAATGCGCTCTGGTCGTGCAGCTTGGATTGGGTTAAATACAGCATCATATATTTGTGAATTGGTATTTTTGGGTTTGGCAATTGCAGTACAAATATCACCTGATTGGGCTGTTTACGATGTTTCATATATTGGTGTTGTCAATGATTATAATCAATTAAGTCGCACTCGTGGATTATGGAAGCAATGTGTTACTAATCAAATAGGTAAGGTTTCGGGTGAAATATCTTTATTAATATAATTTATTATCAATTTATATAATTACTCTTTGGATTGTTAGCATAATCATTTGTTTGTTTCTATGGTCATACATCTTGCAGACTGAAATCAAATGAAAGACGAATGAGTGAACTTCAATGTAAATAGTAGAAAATTAAGGAATTGATAAAGGATTGGGCACATTCTAGGATAGAAATTTCAGGTGAGACTATAATTTATCGACGACTTTTGAGCGATTCCAAAGTGACCATGTGTGTTTTTACCTATTTGGTAGAGCTAAATAAGTGTTATAAGATAGTTTGAAGAATAAGGATTACGATTCACAGTGGATGGTCAGGGTCAGGAATTAAATTTCCGGTTTTCATCTCTAAATGACATCTGCTAAAATGTCAAGACGCGGCAAAATCCGAGACCTGTTATTCTAAATCTGATTGATTTGTCCATAAATTATAGTCTCGCCAAACTTCAGATAACAATATCACTAAAATTCATTCTCCTATTTACAGATAAACAATCCGAAATAATTGACGATTTATGTAAAAGTAGTGTGATGTATGCTACATATATAGACATAAGTAGTATATGACGTTAGTGGTGAACAGAAGGTCTGGCAGCAGAGAGATAAGAGGACCGGACGGCAAAGATTGTAAACAGAATGCAATTTGTATGAGAATACAAGAACAATGAAGTCTGGGCCATTTGAGACAATTGATGGTCATTTTGTAAATTGAGCATTTACTATATGATTGTTAGATTTTATTAACAAGTTCTGTAATTTATTGTCAAAGACATTCGATTGTCCCTACTGGTGTACTGCTCGCTACAATAGTAGTGTAGAAGTCTGACAGAAAACGTAATTGAAGTTAACATATACAATATGAAAAGGCTATTCATAGTAATCAGAATATTATAACAGTATTTTTAAGAATACAGCGTGTTTACCTATGTTAATTATCTAGATAGCGTTTTATCTAGAAACAGTCGATTGCCAAGTGTGGATGAGGCCATAATTAACGGGTGATCATAGAGTGATTCTGAAGTGACCTTGTTAAACTTCGACTAATTATTACTCTCAGTATAGGGTTATGGATCATTATGAAGAATGAGAAATAAGCTTTTTGAGTTTAAGCTAAGAAACTGAGTCAGATTTGCCATCACGAATTGACATCAGGCCAAATATGAATAATATTCAACACTTTTATGGTATAGATTAAAATTTACAATCCTAATAGACAGTTCTATACTGAATTGCATTTGGGATTGTTTTGAGAAATATCTATTTATGAAATATGCATTATCGAATCGTGAATTCAGTGTGAATATCTGTTATCATACTGAACATTGAATCTCCACAGCATCTCTACACCATCCATAGTCTGATTAAATACTTTCTAACTAGTTTAATAACAAGTACGATTGCTGGCACATTTTGAACCCGGATGATATGAATTTTATTCGCAAGCATAACGGCTTACATTATCCGTAAGAATATCACTGCTCAGTAAACATTTTCCATCCATCGCTTCCGACCATTCTTTCCTTCATTAAATGGATGATTGATGCCTACTGAAGATTAATGTTCACCCAATATTTCATCTTAAATATATGGAGATATCCGCAACCATTTCGCATAAGTATCCTGGTAAATAGCAGTCCATAACACCAGATAGAAACAGAAAAGTTGTTCAAATAAAACTTCAAATGGAATCTTTGGTAGACCGTACTCATCCACTGGATTGACTGTGAGATCACCCAAAGTATCAAATCCGCAATACCTATTGCATATTATGAACGTTACGGTAAATTTCACCAACCAGAGTTGTTTATTTACTATTAACACTCATTATTTGGTATCAAACATGTACAATCGATAAATAACTCATGATTAGAAATTAGTTCCTACTTTTAGACTATCGCTTCCAACATCAGTGCATTATTCAATGGGAGCTAACAAAGCTTCCTTAATAGCACAGTGATTATTTTAAACAAACGAGCACATCCATTTCACAGAATTGAAATCCATTCACTTTATTTCATTCCTTATATGTATTTTTAGTAAGTTCATCATACAATGGTCAATGTTATGCTCTGGAATCTAGTACAGAATCTGGCAGCTACAATGGTAATGTTCAACCATTATTATGTAAGTCAGTAAAGTGTTTACTAAAATATAGACAGAATAATGGATGCAAAAGTACATTTGAAATGAACATGAAATTCGTCATTAGTGTGGGGGAGTTGTTAGATTTTATATTTTTTAAATGGTGGGCTAATCTCGGCTGGACAATCATTAGAGATCAGGAAACATTGGACAACTGATCGTCGACGTATGAGAGGAATGAGGAGTAATCATGGACAACGGCACCACAGACCGACCTCACGACGTTCAGGTGTCGAAATGAGTGCTGATCCTGTGGACAACTAAGTTGACATTCGACCATTGACAATTCGACCCTCAATCACTTCTCGATATTTGTCTCATACCTGACACTCTTAATTCTCACTAATCATGACCTCTGTCACTCCTCTGAGTTAGTGATGCAAGACTATGAAATATTTCATTTGAGATTTGCTTAAACATGAATTCATAGTTATCTCACTCTGTTTTGAAAATCTTCAGTCGGTTAAGATGAGGAAGACTACCATATCTTAAGTTACACTGTTGTAAATATTTGCTCAATCGAAAATCACTAATTCAGATAGGCATGTTCAACTAGTCAGAATAGTGTGTTTCCTACATTGAATGACAATTGTCATGATTCGAAATTGAAGTCCCGAAAACAATGCGATGATTGAATTCAAGAAGCCTGATTGCTCAAAATCACTAAATTCATAAACGAGACTTGTAAAGCTCAGTGTGCAGTTCGCTTGGTCACTAGCAGACACCGAGTGGAGAAAAAGTGAGAAACAGGAGGACGTGAATATCTGTCTTGTTCATGTTTGACACTGCGAAATACTGTTTATGGTCGGATGTAAACTAGAGTGAAGTTGAGATTGTGGACTCTATCAGTGTTCATGATACCACTCAGTTGATGCACTGAAGTTTGGCGATTGTGTACTATTCCTTCTATGCTCAGTATATGATTGAAGAAGATAATAGTGTAACCGAAGTATTCAACCTGTCCAGTAGAACTGAGAACTTAAATCATCATTTTGTCTGTACGAATTCAGGTTGCATTCCGTGTACCGATTAACCCTTCCAAATGTGCTTTGTCATAAATGACGACACATTTGTTTCATTGTCGATTTCATTATTCACAGTAATCTTTCAAGTCATCGGTAGTTGCGTTTGCCAGACAGGCCTTCGTCTCATACAAATTTCCAAAGCTATCATATTTCTCTAAAGTCGTGTGCATATGCGATTTCCTCACATTCCATTTCGCAACAATCATCTGAATGGTAACTCAAGTATTGTGAAACACACGATACTTCACATGTTCAGTGTATTCATCAACACGATTGGTCAATGATTGTCCTAGTGTGTACGACACTTGCCTAAATGCTTCATCATAACAGCTTCACAAATAGTGCTGAGATTCCCATAAATTACCTGAATGATTTCACTGAGTTACAATAACCTCACAATATTATTAGACACCCTGTATAAGATTGTAGTAATAGAATAGACTCGAAAGATAACCATTTGAAAGTTGTATAACATGTGACTGTACTCATGATAACCTATTTGTCCAACATCAGAACTCCAAAATGATGTAGATGTGAGTCAACGGATTCATTGTAGTAGCTGACTGAACTCGTGTATGCAATGAATATAATGACTTTGTGATTGATATAAGATCGGTTTCGTGAGGAGTTTCGATCCAACATGGAGATTCATTCAGCAAAAGACCTGATCATCCTGATAGGGGACCTTGAATTCAGGGTCACTGTGGACGACACCATGTATGAAAACATAGTACGGTTACATGGAGTGGAAGAGAGGAACGAGAATATTCAGTTACCACGAAGTCTGTGTGCCTAGAACAACACGCTTGTTGGTGGTATGAATTTCCAACACAAATGCATACACTGAGCTACATGGGTTTCACTGGATTACATCATAGATGATCAGAATAATAAATCACATATCAATAAATAATTAGGGGGTTCCATGGAAGATGTGGTATTAAACAGAGGAGATGATTTTGCTTGAGATTATCACTTTGTGGTGTTAAGGCCAAATCCTAATCTAAACAAGCATTCATCAATCAGACAAGCAGCACAACAGAGTTAAATACAGCCTCATTCGACACACCGGCAGACTCACTGAGTTCAGAATAGATCTCGGCAACAAGCTTCGTGCCTTACGAGATCCTATAGTAAAACAGGGATCTACTATGAAGAAATACTGGACTGGGACCGAAGTAGTAATAATCTCAGGATCGTAAGAGTGTCTGAGCCTCAAGAAGTGTAGGAAGGGAGACTAGATCTCTGTAGGCGCTTTGGGCAAGATTCGAGAAAGGAAGTACACGAACACAACAATTAATAACAGCCGACCAGAGCGGAGAAAGTTATGGCACAGGTTGAATACACAGGAGCACACAAGAGAATGAAGAGAAGCATTAGAGCTGAAAAGAGGAAATATGTGGAAGATCGAGCAATACAACGAAATATATGAAATGTATGTGATACAAAGAATAAACTAGCAGAAAAATTCAGCAAGCCGGAATGAACTATCAAGTACAAGGAAGACAAAGCAATCATCGACATTCAGGGTTAACCAAACAAGTGGGTAGATCACTTCGATGAACTCTTGAATATACCAGTCCCACTGAATCTATCGGACATCGAAGTTGCACACACAGACATTCCTATAACTGTCACCCCACTTGTTGTGTGTTAAAAGGACGGCTTATTACCACGTGATTTATCCAGCAATCGAAATACGACTTATTCAATCTGTGCTAAAATAATAACGTTCGCCCAGTACTAGCAGCTTTGGTTAGCACCATCGATTAACAAGCAGAATCTGATGTAGCTGTAAGTGCACGGCTTGGAGAAATGAGGGCAACATTCTTTCAGTTGAAGAATATATGGAACTGAAAACAACTGTGACCCAACATCAGAGTCATAATTTTCAACTTGAACATTAAGGTAGTTCTACTGATTAGAGCTGAAACTTGGAGAACTACTACAACCGTTATCAGTAAAGTACAATTATTTGTAAAGAATTATCTACCCATGATACTCTAGATCCGTTCACTAGACAGACAATGACGGAATCAACAAACTGTAATACTAGGTAAGTCCTAACTTGTATTCTAAAAAATATAGGAAAAGAGACGAACCGAAATAACGTTGCTTCAGAAATTTGAGGCGCACATAAAAAATAAATGAACATCACTTGAATATAACTTGAAAGTTGGGACCGGAACAGAGTAAGTTAGTGATTCTTGTCGGTGACCTACGTTCCACGAGGGGTAACAGGTGTAAGTAAGTAACAATACAGGATTCTCGTCATTAGTATGAGAATCAGAATCAGATACCATGCAACACAACGGAGAAAATGAAGTTAAGTATTTATGTTGCTTTAATAAATGAAAATTAGTATATAAATATGTCAATTACTATTTTTTTCATTATTCGCAAGATGATTGACCTGACAAAGTAAGCAGTACTGTTGCATTTATAACATTGATGCTTCACATGATGCCTTGTATATTATTAATAAATGATAACAGATAAAATTTAAGTCGGAAAATGTTATCAAATTCATTTTTTTCTTAGCAATGAGATCAGCTATAAACGCGCTGCAAATCATTACAATCATATTGGTTTTCATCATCATCGTTATAACATGTGTCTTCATAATCGTGACATGGAAGAAACCAGAGAAATTCAAACCACGAACAGCTCAATATACTGCTTTGGGTGGAGGTGCCGCATTATGGCTTACAGGTAAATTTGTTTCATGCATATTACGTTGTCATATAATATAAATGGAAGAATGGTACGATCGTAGAAGTGTCTTGCTTTCAATTAATAGATCCTAGTTTGAACTCACTCGGCATCACTTAAGATCGTGTTCCACGGATAATATTATAATAGTATTGCTAGCAACTCCGCCTGGAGTCCCTTTCGGGGGCCTACTGCCGATCCCAAGCCCGGATAAAGGAGGAGGGTTGGGCATGGGGTTAGCGACCCCATCCCGTAGAAAACTAACTCGCTAAAAAATGCTGACCAGAAAAATTATTCAAACCATTTAAACTCTGCCCTGGGAGTCAGGAGGTCTTCATTTAGAAGAATAGTGACGCCTCATGATGAAAGCCGAGTTCCTTCAGAAGTCACAAGGCCGATGCCTCTACTGACAACCAGAGAAACCATTTATTTAGGTACATGGAATGCTCGCACAATGTGGGAGACTGGGAGAGTTTTCCAAATTGCTGCAGAAATGAGGAGATACAACCTAGAGGTGTTTGGGATCAGTGAAACACATCGGACGCAAGTTGGACAACAACGACTAGCTTAAGGGGAGCTGCTGTTATACTCCGGACATGAACAAGAAAATGCCCCACATACACAAGGAGTTGCATTGATGCTGTCCAAACAAGCACAAAATGCACTTATAGGATGGGAATCTCATGAACGAAGGATCATCAAAGCCTGCTTCAAAACAAAGAAAACGGAGATTACAATGAACGTCATCCAATGCTGCGCGCCTACCAACGACTACAATAAAGACGTTAAAGATCAATTCTACGATAGGCTGCAGTCAATCGTCGAGAAGTGCCCAACAAAGGACCTGACTATTCTGATGGGAGACCTAAATGTCAAGGTTGGAATTGACAACACCGGATATGAAGAGATCGTGGGACGACACGGACTGGGAGAAAGGAGCGAAAATGGTGAGAGATTTGCAAATCTATGTGCCTTCAATAAACTGGTCGTAGGTGGGACAATATTCCCACATAAACGCATTCACAAAACCACATGGACTTCACCGGATCACACTACGCGAATCCAAATCGACCACATCTGCATCAACAAAAAGTTTAGGAGGACGATGGAGGACGTGAGAACAAAGAGAGGAGCTGATATAGCATCAGATCATCACTTGCTGGTCGCCAAGATAAAATTGAAACTCAGGAGGCACTGGACAACTGGGAGGACAATATCACAAAAGTTTAATACGGCTCTTCTTCGGGATAATGACAAACTCAATAAATTCAAGATAACCCTCAGCAATAAGTTCCAAGCCTTTCATGATCTACTCAATGAAGAAGAAACTACTATGGAGATCAACTGGAAAGAGATAAAAGAGGCAATCACTTCAACATGTCATGAGGTTCTGGGCCAAAAGAAGCACCATCACAAGGATTGGATCACGGTCGATACACTGGATAAGATTCAAGAAAGGAGGAACAAGAAAGCAGCAATCAATACCAGTCGAATAAGAGCAGAAAAAGTCAAGGCACAGGCTGAATACACAGAAGTAAACAAGCAAGTGAAGAGGAGCATCAGAACCAACAAACGTAAATATGTGGAAGATTTAGCAATGACGGCGGAAAAGGCTGCCAGAGAAGGAAACATGAGGCAACTGTATGACACAACAAAGAAACTATCTGGAAATCACCGTAAACCAGAACGACCAGTGAAAAGCAAGGAAGGCAAGATAATCACCAACATTGAAGAACAACGAAACAGGTGGGTAGAACACATCAAAGAACTCTTGAATCGACCAGCCCCACTAAACCCACCCAACATCGAAGCAGCACTCACGGACCTCCCAATCGATGCCGGCCCACCAACAATTGAAGAGATCAGCATGGCTATCACACAAATCAAGAGTGGCAAAGCAGCAGGATTAGACAACATTCCAGCAGAGGCACTGAAAGCAGACGTAGCGGCAACTGCAAGGATACTCCACATTCTCTTGAGAAAGATTCGGGATGAGGAACAAGTATCAAAAGACTGGAAAGAAGGACTTCTAGTCAAAATACCAAAGAAAGGCGATCTCAGCAACTGTGATAACTACAGGGGAATCACTCTTCTCTCAATACCAGCAAAGGTCTTCAACAGAGTATTGTTAAACAGGATGAAGGACTCTGTAGACGCACAACTTCGCGATCAACAGGCAGGATTCCGTAAGGATAGATCGTGCACAGACCAAATCGCAACTCTACGGATCATTGTGGAACAATCAATTGAATGGAATTCATCACTCTATATCAACTTCATTGACTATGAAAAAGCATTTGACAGCGTGGACAGAACAACCCTATGGAAGCTTCTTCGACACTACGGCGTGCCTGAGAAGATAGTCAATATCATACGGAATTCCTACGATGGATTAAACTGCAAAATCGTGCATGGAGGACAGTTGACAAAGTCGTTCGAAGTAAAGACCGGTGTCAGACAAGGTTGCTAACTCTCACCCTTTCTCTTTCTCCTGGTGATCAACTGGATCATGAAGACGTCAACATCTGAAGGGAAGCCCGGGATACAGTGGACATCTAGGATGCAGCTGGATGATCTAGACTTCTCAGATGATCTGGCTCTTCTATCGCATACGCAACAACAAATGCAGGAGAAGACGACCAGTGTAGCAACAGCTTCAGCAGCAATAGGTCTCAATATACACAAAGGGAAAAGCAAGATTCTCCCATACAACACAGCATGTAACAATCCAATCACAATTGATGGAGAGGATTTGGAAGATGTACAAACCTTTACATATTTGGGCAGCATCATCGATGAACGCAGTGGATCTGACGCAGATGTGAAGGCACGGATCGACAAAGCAAGAGCAGCATACTTACAAATGAAGAACATCTGGAACTCAAAAAAATTGGCAACCAACATCAAGGTCAGAATTTTCAATACAAATATGAAGACAGTTCTACTGTATGGCGCGGAAACGTGAGGAACTACAAAAGCCATCATCCAGAAGATACTGGTGTTTATCAACAGTTTTCTACGCAAAATAATTAGGATCAGTTGGTCAGACACTATCAGCAACAGCTTACTATGGTAGAGAACAAACCAGATCTCAGGGGAGGAAGAAATCAGAAAGAAGCGTTGGATGTGGATAGGACACACATTGAGGAAAGCACTGAACTGCGTCACAAGTTGAGCCTTCATCACTTGGAATCGTCAAGGCTAGAGGAGGAGAGGAAGACCAAAGAACACATTGTGTCGAGAAATGGAGATAGACATGAGAAGAATGAACAAGAATTGGATAGAACTGGAAAGGATTGCACAGGACATAGTGTGTTGGAGAATGCTGGTCAGCGGCCACTGCTCCATTAGGAGTAACAGGCGTAGGTAATTAAGTAAGTATTGCTAGCATTTGGGCAATGATCATGACTAAACACCGAATGATTTTGCCTGTACAAGATAGATGAGTTATGTTGTCATATATGTACAAGCATATTCGTCACAAATAATCAATCACAAACTCACTTTAAGTCTTTGTGAACATTTTTCTACAGATCGGTAGAAGTTACTACGTACACATGTATGATCACTTACAGATTTCAAAAGAACTTTATTTACTAAACAGTATATATATTTGCTTCATGATCAACATTTCTAGTTGTGTCACATATGCTTATCCCAAAATATCATCGAAATTAATTACAAGTAGTTGCATAAATTCCCAAAAACTGATTCATTACTTTTTAAATTCAAGTAGTATCGACCATACATAGAAGTCTCTATATGAACTGACACGATTGAAGTGTGCATATGTTGAAAATCTGTGACACAATCAGCAAACTGATGGAGATAAACCTACAGAATGTAGTCATCATAGAACTGTTAAAATAACGATGAATCTTTGTTCGCACGATTTATAAATACGAACAAATATCGTGTTAGCTCAAAACCACTTTCTCATAAATCTCCATTTCTGACTATTCATTATGAACTTCAGATGAATGTGTGTGCTTATTTACAACTCAACTTTCAACGTTTCTGCTCATTGAATTTTATTTTCTTGAACAAAATAAATTTGCTTGTATGTAAACCGTGTGTGTCTGAAATACATGATTCATACATTGTATGCTGAGATTGTGTTCTGGACTCAAATATATGGGGTAAAGCAAAAAGAACCGACATAAACTCAGAGTTAACATCAGGCAGATTCTACTGGTTAACGCGTCATTAGTTTGGCACAGTTCCAAGGTCACATAAATCGGATTATAATTGGCGATTTGATCACGTGATAATTGGTGGATCAAAAGGCATAACACAACTATTAAAATTGCGTATGAAGTATTGATCATATGATGTTGTAGAAACACAAACAAATATGGTGTTAGCCCTGACGGATTTCTCATCAATATCCATTTCTGACTATTCAGTATGAGTTTCAGATGAATGTGTGTGCTCATTTACAACTCAACTTTCAACGTTTCTGCTCATTGAATTTCATTTTCTTCATCCAAATAGGTTTAATTTATTTCATCAGTCTTCTGATATATTACGAAGATATGTCACAAGAAAATTATCGACTAGATACTAAGCTAACATCAGCCAGATCTGCATGGACAACGGTAAGATTCAAATGATAATCAGATAGCTTTGTATCTGTTTAATACTGTCAGTAGGTTGTAAAATATTGTCAAATATTCTTAAACATACTACGAAAATTTCATATTGAATTACTCATTTGAGTTGTGCGCATAAGTTTGCAAGCATCATCTACAATCTGTTGTGAGTGATCACTGACAATATTTGTTTCGTCCTCAGATCTACTCTATTTGTCCATATGTGTAACATTCACTTGTAGTGTATGAATGTAACACTACAAAAATAGCTATTTCATTAAATCGATTTTATGACAGTGTTCAGTTTGCCGTTGAAGCAAACTTCAGGGATCTTACTTACCATTCAACTCTCGTATAAGACATCCAGTATTCTGTTTTAAATATTCAGATGTTCATTCAATGCGTTCAGACTAATGTCAACATTCGACAGTCAATGTGAAATAGAGTCCAGTCAGATTTTATTTTGAGACTATTCTACATATTGATAAGTAAGTAACATTCGAATTACCGCAACCATATTTCGAGATTTCGAATATTGAAGTTAAGCACAAATCTGAATATAGATGAAATGAGTAGTTGTAAGGAGTGATTTCAGGTTCTTCACTTCAATATTTCAATCCGATCAGTGAACACCATTCTACCTACCGACTTCATAATACGAGTGTTCGATGGCATTCTGGTTATTTTCTCAATATGCCTGAGGCTAATCATAATTTGTGATGATCGATCATGAGATCTTAAGTTAATTGAAATGTTCACTTTAACATACGTTAATCTGTGAAGACTTCTATAATACTCCAATTCTCATGTGAACCGTATTTGTAAGTTATGCATACATCAAACTGATCCTGTGACATAACAACCAATTGCAGCACAATAGGAAACTACCTAGATAATCTCACAGAATAAACAAACCATTCATGACATTTCCGTGAACTGACACATAGACTTCATACTAACAACATTTCATTGCTTAATGCGCACAACGTTTTCAGAAATACGAAACAAGTTCCTTCGTTTAAAATATTTAAATCAACATGTAGTTAGTAATTAAGTTAGTAATTTATATTCTATTGATGCCTATATAATACATCATGTTTCAGATGCATGTATATATGAAAAGCCTCTCTGATTATGATCATCATATGCTTACTAGTGACTGGCCTCAAGAGGTATTTCCTGGAGTTCTAGTGGGAAGCAGTGATCAGTGAAGTTCAACCAGGTCTGTTGTGCGATAGTAACTCACTGAAGGCAATGGTGGATGTGCTGCTCAATTTCGTGGATTAATTGAAATTAGACATTAACACCATTGGATGCCGAGGTCTGGAGGATAAGTGTTCGCGCGCGAGACTGATAGGTCCTGTATACAAATCTCGCGAGACGGGATCGTGGATGCGTATTTCTGAGGAGTCCCACAACAGGGCGAAACGGCCATCGAGTGCTTTCAGGTTTTCCATCATGGTCTAGCTTCAATTGACTCATGATCGCAACTATTAAAAATGACTATAATATTCACAAAAATCCCGTCAGATATAATTAATCTGACGAATGATGGTCTTGAATTGAGTGGGTGGGTTCGGATAACTGGAAATTAATGAGTATCTTATTCATGATCAGTCACACTCTCTAGTTGATAGCTACTAACCGCCACATCACAATACATTACATAAATACATCATTTCTTAATGAACGGATCCAAAAATGCATTGCAACAATCAAAATTCGATGTGATTTTCAGTCATCTGACTGGGTGAAGATATGGAATATATTGACTAGAAAATTTGTATCAAGAATTTATTTGGACGTGTTAACTCTCAACGTCAGTGTCATCCTTTACGAATGAAATTCAATGTAAACAATTTTCAAATGTTCCCATCACAAGATGTCGATGGGTTTTCTCAGTTAGGTGAATCGTGAATAAATGATGGATTTCGAAATTTGTTTTCATTCCTATCCACCATCGACTGAAGAACGACATTTAACATCCTGATGAACCTACAAAAGTATGTCATCCAAATCGGTAACCGTTAAGCATCACATGACATTTTACTGAAATTTTGTGGTAAACGATTCCCAAATTCACATCAAATTCATGAACTACTCATATTATGCAAAACAATCAATCTAATCAATGGTTGGAAGACTCGAACATTTTGTTTTCAACTTCTTTAAATGTTGATTGTGTAAATAGTCAGAGTATTTGACAACAAGAGTGTAAACTTCCCATTGTTCTCTAGTTTACAGATGATATTGTATTTGTAAATAAACATATCTCCATATAGGTGGTAAGTAACTGACTTAAAAGATGACAAAGTGTACTTATCAGTGATGATGCTGAGAGCTTAAATAGGTAAATATTTTCTTGGTATTATATATGTTTCTGTCAGAATTTGATTGGTTTATAATTTTCTACTTACTTAGACTGTTCGTGATAATACGGTATATTCACCTGGTGGTATGATACCTATGGCTTGGTCAGCTTGTTTACTTATTTATGCTGGTAGTATTTTACAACTGGTAGCAAGTGCTGTACAGCAACCTCCAGTTCGAGAGGGGTATGGATTGTAAGAACATGTGGAAAGAAGAAATTCGACTTTATTATTAAAGATACTCTTTTATAATGCAATATATTTTTGTGTATTTCAATTAGTTTCTTAACACTATTGGATATTATTTCCACATGTGCACATGTGTAAACAGTGTTGCTTTATATCACTGATTCCAAAATAATATCACAATTCTTCCTTTTTGTATAGTCAACACTAAGTTGATACTCTTTGGACTGTTATGATTTCGAATGTAATGGACTTCAATTATTCTTCTTAATAATAACATGATATATTTGAAAACACCAATTACAGAATTCCTATCAGTTTACAGGTATAATCAGCTTGTTATAGATAGTTATATTAAATGTGGACGACAGATATGTGATATTAGATTGTTTGATGTGTTCCAGGTCAAGAATAGTTTTGGTAGTACATTTATGACATTTATTGCAGTAATGAAAGTGTTCTAGTGGGAACTCTTTACTAACATACAATTGATTTATCATCGGTGTATTTAAGGTCAATACCTGAGTCATAACTAATCGATTATAATCAATTCAACATGAAAGAAAATAAAATGGAATCAAAGATCACGAAACAACTAAAGCGATAATTACTACGATAGGTCAGTGAGTCGGTCAGTCGTGTGTACCATGATAAATGTGTCGGGTTATTTTATGATAAACGGTTCATGTTACATATTATTCATATTATCTAAAGTTATTAGGAATGGTGTTACTTGGTGGGTTTGGTAATAAAATGATTAAACATTAGAAATTTCCATAATCTCACTCGTGGAATGAGATATATTTACAGATGTAAGAATATTTAAAGCATTTTCAGAGGAGAAGTAAGCATCGATTTAGCAAACAGATGATGGTAGTGATTTTATTCCAGGGACAGATTGTGGTTAATTATTCTAGAGTCTGGAAAATTCAATGGTAAAGTAATAAATATGGAGAGAAGATTTAGAATGTGATGGTTTCACTAATGACTAGGAGTTACGGATGATGTGAGTAGGAGTTTCTGGATCTTGAATCGCTTCAATGAATGGTTTTTTAAGTATTTCGATGAAAAAGGTTAGATTAAGTTTAAGTCTTCTCTTCTTTAAAAAGTCGAGTTCAAGTTTATCACATCTGTATTTACAGTTTACAGTACAATCAGTGCCAACAATGTGAAATGTAAGCCGTTCCTGAATAAACTCCAACTTTATCAGTATGATATATTCGATCGTTTGATATGAATATTCGTAGACTAATTATACTGACTAGTTGATATTGTTTTTTAACATGTTCATTTAAGTACATAATAAACAAGGAATATAGGACAAAATTATTTATAAATGAATCTAGTTTACTCAATTACGTGCTTCATTTTTGACTTTTATAACTTCCACACAAATAAATTATTCAAAATTGAGGTCACTCAGCTACCTGTGATGACTCCATCATTTTGAAATAAATTTGTATACTGAGATGGTGGAGAAGATTTGTAGTTCAGGTCGAAGATTTTGATGGAGTTTTGTTCTCTGAGCTGGATGGTTTGATCGTGGAGCTTTCAATAAGAACCAATCAACATCGAGGTGTACAAAACAAGCTGTGAAACGCATATGGAGAAATTCGAACACTTCACTTCTATCTGAAGTTTGTGCTGATGATGTCGTTCAGAAGAACGATGAAATCTCCACGATCAAACCATCCAACCTAGAGAACAAAACTCCATCAAAATTTTTATACTCTCAGTACACATGAACTGGAGCCATTTAGATTCATTGATTGGTGAATTAAGGAGATCAAGATATTAAGACCTCATCCCTTCTGTGATTTTTTTAAAATTCCATCTTTAAATTACCTCACATATGCTCTAAACATTTTGATTAAGCTTAGGACATCCATGTATATTAGTGACTTAGTCTCTTAAATATAACTCACTAGTCTTCAAAAAAGGAAGTATTTGATTCGAAATCTGGAGGGACAGGTTTTCATTACTGAAGAATTGAATAACATGATGAAACATCTATTTTATGGTCTTTAGTTTCCAATGTTTCCTCAAGTGTTATCATTTTTCAGTGAAAAATAAACAGTCGGAAATTTAAATAATTGTACCATATGAAAACAGAACAGATTAGTTCAGCGATGACTTCTCATTCTGGTCAACTCATTTTTATTTAATACACTCGTAGAACTATACTTATTTCACAGAATACGTTCATCAATAATAATAATAATAATAATAATAATAATAACAATAATAATAATAATAATAATGGCAATAATAGCAATAATAATTTCTTGATCACGGCAAAGTAAGCAAAATCGTAAGATGCTATTCTCATTAAGAAACTAAAAACATAGTTCTATTCATTTTTGTATCGGTTATTTGAATCTTTCCATTGACATTTAGGACTGAAACTAATCAATCTATTTAATTGGTATATGTGCATTGTTTCCGGATTGATACGATATTACTTTAAGTCACAAGCATTATAAGCAGGGATGTATGGTGGCTTGCAGTGGATTCTGCTTATAAAAACGTAGTTGCTACTATGTTTTGGGATATTACAAATATATTAATTTATTTGTAATTGCTAAGAGCTTAAATATTCATTGACAAGTAGATAAAACGAATAGCTTTAGAGAAGATTTGGGCAAAGTGATCACATAAATTATTGGAGTTTTGAAGAGCTTAGAAACAGAAATAAGTCATTTGTCGATGAAAGGCCAACAGGGAACGTGACAGGAGAGAAGATGGTAACTTTGGGAAAATGAGAGTTTAAGAGCATGGTCAAATAAGAGGTTTTTTTCAGTCATATAACAAATGCTTCGACGATATTAGGAAGACGGAAGTTCACTGTCTTTGGCAAGTTTCTACTTATCTTGTAGATGAGTTTATACGCTGATTTTGTTTTATCCATCGGAAATGTGTTCACGAAGTGTTCGGTTATAAAACATCTTAACGATTAATTTTCACCTTATTTCAGTCAAAACACAATGTTTTCAACTTCTTTCAGATAGCATATACAATGATCAATCCATATACCTAGTTTCTTATCAGTAAGTGAATTGATGTTGTGTCCTGATAAGAATAATGTGTGGTAATTTTTTAAGATCTATTTATGTTGTTTTATGGTACTATGTTTTCTGTCTGGTTGGTATATAAACCCCGTGTGTTTGAAATACATGATTCATATTTCAGAGGCTGAGATTGGTGTTCTGAACTTAACTGGCTGGGTTAGGCGGAAAGCAGGACCAATCAGGACTGTAGACTGCTCGTATGGGTTTTACGCATCATTGATTCGATCGATAATTCACTGCTCTAATCGGTGGTCACAAGATATGACAATCGATGAATGCATATAGAAATGGTCAGGAGTAAGAGCCTTTCCCCAAGGTTGTTCCTGAACATTAGTATTCTTGTTTTTCTAATCTCATAATAAGAATAACACTTTTGAACTGTTTCTTTATCTTACATATCAGTTACCATTCTTATTATTACTCTGAATAATAGATATATTATCTGTGTTCATTTTGAAAAACCAGTATATGTTTGTGATTGTACAGCTTTATAAGCAAATTCATCAAAAAGAGAACTTATCTCCAATTCATATTTCTATCTGAATATGTTATTTATTTAAAGAATGAAGTGTTCTTCATAAGACTGAAATACATTATCAATAATAGAGAGAGTAACTGTAGTAATTAACTATAAAACACTTATATATAAATATACTGTATTGAAATTCATTTGAAATAATGTAACTCTACATTAGATATATAATACTATTTGTGATATATTTTTGATTGTGATCATAAACTGGCTGATGCCAGACCACCATTAAAAACCTGAAAGCATTAGACGGTTGTTTAGTCTTATTGTGGGACTCCTCAGTAGTGCATATCCAAGATCCCACCTTCAGGATTCGAACCCAGAGTGGTCTAACATCAATCGATTTATGATCTCAATCAAATCACATAATAATTTCTACAACCCCATACTGATATTTATGATATGTTGAATAGTTTTATAATCTTTAAAGCATAGTTTTAATAAATAATCATTTTATTGCATACGATGCCAAAATCAATAAATTAAATTAACTTTTAGCATTGGTTATCTATATTCTTATCAATATAATTCGTCTACAATACAATACGGTAATGGTTTGTCTATAATTTATTAAAGGACAGTTAATTTAAATAGTTACCCTCCTTCCCCCCTAAATTAAATGACCTTAAATGAACTAAATTAGATTTAATTATTCTTTTTGTTTTCATTAAAGATAATACCTAAATATTAAACAACAAAAATAAACTTGGTATTTAAATTATAAACAAACAAAAAAGTAATATTAATAATAATTAAAAAGAAGAGAATAAAACCCCCTAGAACATTCTTGAAAGAATGATGACATTAAATGGAACTGAGCAACTAAATAGTTTAGATTGTCAGGATATATTATCTATAAATAAATTACCAATTCATGATCGATTTAAACATAAAGGGAATTCTTCTAGTTTATCTGTAAAATCAAGTAAGTTCAATATGATCAATTTGAAGTTGAATGTTTAGTTAATAAAAATTTGTAAAGAGAAATTATTAAAGTATATCATGGTAATAAAATATATTATATCCTAATCGATTTTTTTTTTTCTATTGCTTGATTATATTCATGGAGAAAGTAAATTCGAATATTCTTTTTCCATATAAAGACAGACTATTCTTAAGTTTATAATATTATCTTTTATATAAATATCCAAGAAACATTCACTTCATAATAATCTATTCATCTATGGAACGTTGATTAAACATCATTTCAGATCATTAAAAAGTTTGTATTTGGTTTACTTACTTATGCCTGTTACTCCCAATGGAGCAGTGGCCGCTGACCAGCATTCTCCAACACACTATGTCCTGGGCAATCCTTTCCAGTTCTATCCAATTCTTGTTCATTCATCTCATGTCCATCTCCACTTCTCGACGTAATGTATTCTTTGGTCTTCCACTTCTCCTCTAGCCTTGACGATTCCAAGTGATGAAGGCTCAACTTGCGACGCAGTTCAGTGCTTTCCTCAATGTGTGTCCTATCCAATTCCAAAGCTTCTTCTTTATTTCTTCCTCCCCTGAGATCTGGTTTGTTCTCTCACACAGTAGGTTGTTGCTGATCGTGTCTGTCCAACTGATCCTAAGTATTTTGCGTAGACAACTGTTGATAAACATCTGTATCTTCTGAAAGCTGGCTTTCGTATTTGTTTTAACTATCATTAATTGTAGTCGCGTATTCAAATAGCAATTTGAACAAGGTATTCATATGATATGTATGTCATTGTAACGACTAAGATTTTATTATTTCAATGATACTTCAACCTAGTAATGCTGGATTATGACTATCATTTGATGGAAGTTTTGATCATCACAGTGGAACACTATTCACTCTCTCTCTATACACTTGAACTAACCCATCCTCTTGAAAATTCGTCTTACTCCTGAAACACAAACGGATTACAAGGTGACGATAAAAGATCAAACAAGAAGATGATTGAAGAGTTTTACATCTGATGAAGTGATACTAAACGGTTATTACAAATATGGAGTATTTTCAAGACCAACAAAATTAATACAAACCAGATTATTGTAAAATAAAAGTTCGATAACCTCATCCTTGTGTTATTTATTAAACGGGATATCCGTGTGAAAACAGTACAAGAAAATGGATATTTACCACATATTTCATAAATTACTTTACCAACAAATCTATATTTTCCTGCTCATTTTTTATATTAACAAATAATATACACCCTTTATTCGTAAATTCTGTGGACACGATTCAAGATTTATGTGTTTGAATTAGGACATTTGTAATCCATTAAATTCTTACGGGATACAAAGGTACTAACTATCTGGGTTCAATTGCTAAGTGAATAGCACATCACTTGTTTAAAGTGATAAGTACCGGATTCATCTCCTAGTGTGTACATCAATACAAGAGTGGAGCAAGTTTGAAACAAGGCATAAAACAGGTCCTTACTTGCTATACTAGCTATAAATCTAACTCTTTTATAAGTTTTTGATTGAGACCATGAACCGGCTGATTTTAGACCGCCATTGAAAATCTGGAAGCACTGGATGGCCGTTTCGTCCTATTGTGGGACTCCTCAGCAGTGCGCATCCACAATCTCACCCACCGCGGGATTCCAACCCAGGGTTTTCAGTCTCGTGCGCCAACGCTTAGCCTACTGGATCACTGAGCCGGTATCCAACGGTGTTAATGTCTAACCTCAACCAATCCACAAAATTGCGCGACCATCTTCCATTGTACTGAGGTGGACATCTCTTTCTACCAGACATGGATTAGCTCCACTGGTCACGACTTCTCACCAGAACTCCGAGAATTTTCTCACGAAGCTAGTCACTAGTGAGCACATTGTAATGATCAGTTTAGGGGTTGTGGAGATTGTCAAGTTTTTGATTGAGATTATGAACCGATTGATGTTAGACAACCATTAAACACCTGGAAGCACTAGACAGCCGTTTCGTATTTGTACTTATCCTAAGAATTTTCATTTATTTAACTTTGTAAAATCATAACGTAATTTTCTAAAATTTATTCCAGAGAAAAACAATTTTAATAAAGAAATCAAAAGTATATCTTCCGATGTTTGTACATTATCAAGCAGTAGTAAAGAAAAATTAGATAAAAATTCAATTAGCAACATTGATTATGAAGAGAATATTAATATCAATGAAAGAATTCTACCTGATGACACAGATATTATACAGACAACATATTCAAGAGATTTTCCAAATAAACAACCTTCAACTTTAATAGCATTACGGTATGTTATTAATGATAAAACAGATTTAAATTTAAGCTGGAGATGAGAAGCTTATCGAATAAAACTGCCAACTGACAAAAGCGGAAACTATTGTTATCTTAGTCAATGTTTTTGTACATATATGTATGGTCTCGAAACGGTTGCAGCTCGAGTGAACAATAAAGTGGAACTCATTTCGATTTGGTTATTTAGCACTTCCGATGACCATAATATGTTATTATATAAATGATATTCTACAAATTTCCGCAAACATTAATTATATGCAAACTTAAGGCTGATATTATTTCAGTCAAACAATGTTAAGTGATAGAAGAGTCTCAACAAGTCATTGTCTGAGATTTTAGAAATAAGTTAATCTGAGTTTGAATCCTCTTGACAGTGCCAGTTCCCATAAAATTTCTAGAGTATCTCAAATAGAATTTTCAACTAGAACGAAACCTAGTTTCAGGGTTTTATGTCGACTACGTCGAACCACCTAACAATAAAATATAATGGATGAGATATCGTTTAATTTGGAGAAGTGCTCATATAACAACTCAATAAGTAGAACTTGGTTAGCATTAAAGAACTAAATGAATATAAAACTTAGTCAATAACAACCCTCATTATTATTTGTTGCAATAAAATAAATTCCCAGTTTAGGGGTTCTGGAGATTTGTCAAGTTTTTGATTAAGATCACGAACCGATTGATGTTAGACCACCATTGAAAATGTGGAAGCACTGGATGGCCATTTCGTCCTATTGTGGGACTCCTCAGCAGTGTGTATCTACGATCCAGCTCGCGGGATTAGAACCCATGGCCTTCAGTGCCCCCAGGTTTTCAATAATGGTCTGACATTAAACGATTCATGACCTAAATCAACAAAAATATAAATTCCATTCATTTCCGAGCAGTTGGAATGAAACTGTTCAGTTAGTTTCAAAGTATTTATGAACGGAAAGGTAATGTTGTTATTAACATACATCAAACTTAAATTGCAACTTCAAAGAACACAAAAACCGAAGTAACACAAAACTCGCGATACAAAAATTGATAGATCACAGTCTTGTTCATATCATCAAGTTAATGAAAGTTTATAAGAGTAATAGAAAAAAACTTTGCAAATCACATTTGAAGGTGATCATTGTAAACCAGTACAAACTCCGTAAACAATAATCTATAAAGAACATTAAAAGAATTTGTACTTTATAAAACCTTTCGTCTAAATTTCATCGAATCGTTTTACAGAATTAAGGCACCGAGTTGATGTGAGACATTAAAGAGGAAGAATGTATTTTCGAAATCTTAGTGAATGAATTTGAAGTAAATTCAACCTTTCATTTGGCAATCTAGTTCACGTTTGATTAGATTTCCTTGAAAAAGCTTGAACCAGATTGCCAGATGAAACGTTGGATTTACTTCAAATTCATTCACTGAGATTTTATGAATTTGTACTTTATTCCTTATTATGTTTTGTGTTACTCCCCCTTGTTATTGTTATCACGCTTAGATAATACAAACAAACATATCATTACAAATAACTGTAAATCTTTTATCTATAACTGTTTTATCCTAACGGTACATATATTCTGTGCAAGCAAAGTCAAATACTTTTTGTCTCTGCTTAATCTCACATACACAACAACATAGAATAAGCTCAACATTTTTATATGATACCTCAGAACTAAGCTAAAAGTTATTTTTCACTTAAACAAATGTATCCTTTCCTTATTTCATAAACGTGTTTTTTTTTACCGGACATCCTGATGATCGTATTGAAATTAATAATCAATAACTTGATAAATAGTGCTTTATTTTAATGATAAGTATAAGTTGGAAACAATGTCAAATAGATCTCAGTAAATATCATCTTGTTGTGTTCATTATATATTAATTTTAGACCACGATCAACTAGACACGCTTTTATAGCTCCAACATGTAAATCTATCTCAACACCAAATACTTGTCGAAATTTAAATGATTTAGAAGTACTGAATTCAGTTGATGGTCCATATCAAAGTACTTATTCAAGAGATTATGTTGGATGCTGGACTCCTCAACCAGATTCTCCAATTAGAACAGCTACTTCAAGTGGGACAAGAGCAAATAAACCTCATCCAAGAAAGGTAAATATTGATTAGATTAGATTACATTCTGTAACAAGTATTAGTGGAGCCGACAAATGTATTGCTTAGAATGTTAATAATTTTTTTACTCCGCTTTAGAAAGATTTATTAACACTGTAATGAGTACATACTGGAATTGATATTTAGTTGGGCAAAAATGTATGAATGAATATCCGACAGAATATATATTCTGTGAATCAAAAAATGAAACTTTCAACGTAATAAGCTGTATATTATACTAGATAGAACAATATTTCCACACAACTCCTTTAACTTATGATTAATATAAAACTAATTATACCTGACTGATGACAACTGTCTAATTGATTGTATTTTGATCAATGATTACCAGTGGAATTAAGGGAGTGTATCCTTTTGTATTTTCGACATAAGAGCTAACCGTATTTAAATTCGATTATCGATCTTTACAAAGTGATTCGAACTCAGTACATGTCGTTTCAAACATCGTTGTGTTATCTAAGAAGCTATTGAGTTAGAACATCCACTAAACTATTCATGGAGTATGATATGTTTGAAATACACTAGCAGTTGAATCATTGGAAAATAGTTTCACGTTTCAGTGTGAATATCAACAATGACATGCTTGTTTATCAGAAAGCAAACAGAAATGAATTCATATCTTTAATTTATCTGTCAAAATAAATGAACACTTCCTACTGTAGCTAACAATATGATAAATGCTTAGATACTATCAGAGACTAGGCAATTATAAATTTCATTGTTATAAATTAGTGGTTTAGACAGCTTAAATAGACAAACTGTCTATGAGTCCATCAATTTCTATTTACGGTTATGATCAAAATCAATTCAAGTAGTAGAAATTCATAAAATAACATTGGTAGCTCTATTCATTACAACTATTATGCAATTATTTTTCATTATTCTTTAGTAAAATAACTTTTCCAAATTCTAGTTAAAAGAACTACATTATTTATAGCTTATAGGCAATTACTATAGTCGCTGTACTACAGGAAATACATTTATTTCATTCATAAGGGTGTATATTACGTTTTGTCTAATTGATAGGTTTCATTTCGTAAATAAAGTTTATTGACAAGAATCTTGATAAATATGATTATTGAACAGAGAATAACTGGCAAGACTATAATTTATCGACGACTTTTGGAGCGATGCCAAAATGACCTTGAGAGTGTTCACCTACTTACTAGGGTCAAATGAGGGTTATAAAACAGTTTGAAGAATAAGCATTATGATTCAAAGTTTATGGTTAAGGTTAGGAATTAGATTTACGGTTTTTCATCAAGAATTGACATCTGTTAAAATGTCAAGACGCTATTTCGCCTAATGGGTAAGTGAATTTTAAGCCAAAATCCAAGACCTATTATCTTAAATGTGATTGGTTCGTCTATAAATTATAGACCCACCGAATAGCTGTATTCTTTTTCATCATTTGATGTAAACAAAAATTTCAGTGTTATTACTTTTCTGTTACAAATGGATATTGTTTAAGAAGTTCACAAGTCACTTAAAAAGACATAGATAAACCTAACTACTTTCCAATTAAAATTAAAAAAAACATAGTCAGAAACATGTTTTAAACACCTCGTCTTCTGCGATGTTACTCAACTAACTATTTTTGTTCATTTTTCAACAAGGACTTTTTAACTTATCGAAATGAGATGAATCAAATGTTATATTTCGATAAACCAAGCTCTCCTGTATCGACAGTTTCTGAGTCGCTGACACAAAGAGACAAAACATTTTGTCCTCATCGTCATTCAGAGGCAGATTTAATTCAATCATTAGTATATAATCGACCAAAAGTCTTTCAAAAACTTAACAGAGAGCAATATAGTTTCTTGAATCAAATGCGCTTTAAAAGTACATATCAAGACTCTTTCAGTATAGTTAGTCATTGTAACCAACCGAGAAATATTGTTCAAGACTCCATAAAATCAGTACATGAAATCTATGAAGGTGAGACCGGTCATCCATTATCTCTTACACATTTGAATTTTGCTAAACCATCATGGAAATATCAAGACAATACAACTTTTAAGGATGTTGATGAAAAGTTTATAAATGGCAATTTAAAATTAACAGTTCCCTGTACACGTTATGGTTCTAACAAAAATCATCATAAAATCACTAGGGGAATAAGTAAGCAATTTATTAACACTATTATAAACGTAATCTTCAGAATCAATTTTATAATGTTTTCTAAATAATGTATTGTAGCAGCAGCCTCAGTAGCAGTAGGTCTCAACATAAACAAAGTGAAAAGCAAGATTCTCCGATACAACACAATATGCAACAACCGAATCACACTTGATAGAAAACCTTTGGAGGATTTTAAAACCTTTACATATCTGGGCAGCATCATTGATGAACACGGAAGATCTAGTGCAGATGTGAAGGCGCGGTTCGGCAAAGCAAGAGCAGCATATTTACAACTGAAGAACATCTGGAACTCAAAACAACTGTCTGTCAACCAACACCAAGATCAGAATTTTTAGTACAAATGTCAAGACAGTTCTACTGTATGGGACGAAAACCTGGAGAACTACGAAAGCCATCGTCCAGAAGAAACCAGTGTTTGTTGACAGTTGTCTACGCAAAATAATTAGGATCAGTTGGTCAGACACTATCAGCAACAACCTACTGTGTGAGAGAACAAACCAGATCTCAGCGGAGGAAGAAATAAAGAAGAAGCTTTGGAATTGGATAGGACACACATTGAGGAAAGCACTGAACTGCGTCACAAGACAAGCCCTCATCACTTGGAATCGTCAAGGCTGGAGGAGATGTGGAAGACCAAAGAACACATTGTGTCGAGAAATGGAGATGGACATGAGAATGAACAAGAATTGTATAGAACTGGAAAGGATTGCCCGGAACAGAGTGTGTTGGAGAATGCTGGTCGTCGGTCTATGCTCCATTGGGATTAACAGGCGTAAGTAAGTAAGTAATGTATACATCGTATTGAAAATTGTAAACAAAAAGTGCCTAAAACTAGCATTATAGATTCATAGTAAAAAGAAACTTCAACTACAAAATGTCGGAAAATTAAACGGAGTAAAAGTAAATCAACCCTCTGTTTTTCTAATTTTTAATAAGTAGTCTAAGGACTTCATAGAAATTTTTATATAATTCTTTATGTTTCGTTTCGACAAATAACAAACCACTTCAGAGTCCATTAGTAGGCTCATTTTGTGGTAACGTAAACCATATGTAAATATAAAATATGTTAAATCTGTTAACAACCATAACTTTCTTAAATTATCAAATGACCAGAATATAAAAGAAATCCTAGATTGTTTACGACTAAGAGTAGTTTATTAATATATGAAAGTTTGTGGAGATTGTTATATTTTCATACTTTATATCACGGACTGAATTTAGACAACTTGTAAAAACCATGAAACACTGTAAATCTGTTTTAACTGAGTATTGGACTCCTTAACAGTGCATACTCACTATTCTGCCGATGATCAAATCCAAAACCTTCAGACTCATGGTGTAAAGAAAATTGTAAACCAATTAACGGTGGACATATGCACAACTCGGTCCAAGCTCAGTGGTCTAGAGGTAAGCATTTTAACTTGAAATTGAGGGCTCTAAGTCATGAACATGCACTGCTGAGGAGCCCCAAACTAAGATGAAGAATCTCCAAAGCTTCCTTATATATATATATATATATATATATATATATATATATATATATATATATATATATATATATATATATACGTATGGGTTGATTACACGACGATTGCAACATCTTTGATATATTCTTCATTGAGAATCTCCTGATTGATTATTTTGTGCAAATAATACAAGACTCCATTCTAGTATATTGATGATTAGGAAAATCTTGGATTTAACATGTTCGGTTTCTGCAGGAATAATATCTATGTATTTTATGGATCAGGTTTCACTGGCCTGCTAAAAGTCTAAAAATAAAACTTATTAACTGATTACAAGAGTCTATTAGAGTAAATTGTAGAACACTTAAAATAGTAACCACCAGTCCATTTCCAATCGGATTCGTGTTTAACTTCAGCTATAGCTAGTAATATTAAAAGGTGAGATGGTATTGAATATGCTTTAGTGTGGCCCCTATATTTTGACCTCAATTAGATCGGACGATAATATGAACCGACCCACAACTTTTGTGACCTGGCATCTGACTCTAATTAGATCGTATGAATGTTATTGATGTACAAATGTCGTCTATCTTCGTATATAATTATTGACTTAATCCACGTCAGTGAATAACGGAATTAAATAAGTCAAATACGAGAAAGAATTTCGAATGCTTATATTTTGTATAATGATTGATCAGAATAGACAATCAGAGAGTTGCAGAGAATGAAGCGAAGCGAAACGAAACGACGCGCAGTAGAGAAGGCGTATAAGTTAACTCCATTTAACCAAGCGTTAATCGATATTTATAGTTACACAAAAATAAGCTATAGATATTTGATGAGTAGGATAAGATGTACACACACATACTCTCATATAAAAACAGTCAGGGTTGATAAATGAGCAATTGACAAGGTCAAAACGTGACTCAAGAAAAATGGATGGATTGGCCTAGTCTAAAAGCTAGAACAAACTATAAGGACTTAACATAGTAACCAACACTATAATGCTCAGCATATTACAAAATCTAACCAAACTGGTTTCTATTCGCCTAACGTAGCAAACCGCAAAGAAATATATAAAAGGTAGAACAAAATATTTAGACGAAGGCGAAGATAGAGGAACGTGAGACTTTGAATTTGACTATATAGTAAACGAAATAGCGTCCTATTTGACACTGTTCTGTGATGTAGTTGAGATTCTTAACTGAACGCCTTTTGTAAGTAATATCTTTTAAATTAACAAAGTATGAATATCGAATGGTTACAAAGCATTTTTTTGTTTTGGAGAGTTAATTATTATCACAGTATTATAGAAAGCTCAGTTACAAACCGGTAATCTTTTACATACAATTTTCTATTGAAAAATTGGTTTACAATTAAAATCTAAATAGAACCAAGTTTGATGAACCATGAATCATTAGGTCATTGGTTTTACATATAAAATTCTTTAGTAGATTACGTGAGAAAATTATAATGTGATTCAACAAACCTTCTGAAGACTACATATCTATAAATACTTTTCAATTTAGATGTGACCTATACTATTATATAATAGTGAGTAATATAATCTGATAGCCTAAATATATATTTTGAATATTATACTTTATAAAATACGGGAAGCTATGTTGATTATTGCCTTAAACTAAATCATAATAAGTTCCTTCCATATGATGTATCTTGTTAGCAAGATCAAACATATTATACTTATTGTACAACAGAATATTTTATCTTCTAGTAAATAAACACATGACCATGTTATATCATTAAACAATGTTTCTTTTTTCTATTTTGTTTCTCTATCACAGTACCTACTGTTATCATGACAGCCTAGATTTGTGTAGATCATTATATGTTCAAAATTGTCTTTCATGAACAAATGTACAGATTGTAAGAATCGACCGTAACTTCTCATATAAATATATATTATCAATACCATACATAGATGTTATTGGTAATTTGATAAAATGGGTTTAGATGACGTTGAAACTCATTCTTCAATTCAAAAGTTGATATTATATAACCCATTGAAAATAGACTACTTTTATGGTTAGTATTTTAAGTATCCTGTTGTGGAACCACCTATCGATACTTATCTCATATAATGCATGCTGGTTATATTTATTAAGCTATGCGTTGACTATTGATCTACCTGAATGTTAAAAATATTGATACTACTTAACTTCGCATATATTTTGTCAAGTGATCACATTAATACAATGTAGATAATAAAACTCGAATACAAAATATGTTTGTATATACGTATGTTTAAGGCATTCATTTACAAAGATATTTGACAACCATGAAGATAAAATCTGTTGGCTACCTCTAATTCATAAGCATGCTCCATGTTACACATATAAAAGTAGACCACATATAAAGTGCTACTAGGTAGGGGGGACAGACACACGCGTATATGAAAACCTTCGAATTTACATGTCATCAAGATGACATAACCACCTAAAGCAAAACATTCACTTCCCTACCTGAAATATATTCAAATTAAATATTACAAGTAAATTAGAAATATTTATCCGAAACGGTTTACCTTAACACATGTATTAAACGCGACAAACGATCCTCTAACTTTTTTATTTTTTCAGTATTATAAGTAAAGACCTTCAATTGAATAATATATTTTGTAGTAAGTTAATAATAGGGGAACAACTGGAACATCCACATGGAAGATGGTAAACCGTCTGTTTGATACTAAACTATAATATAATCATGAGGTGGAACACAGTGAAATCATCTAAAATCAAAAAATGTATTGTATAGCAGAACCGATTAGTATTCACATTTTTGATTATCATATCATTCAAAATTTCTTACATTGTCTCTATTAACTATCTCTTACATCCCTCTGATGTATTTATTTGATATCCTTGATGTAAGAAATAATACTTTGTGTCAATATGTTTCACAGTAATTTTAGTATTTTATGATCGATCATAGAGAGGATAGAATTCTGAAGGCTTTTGCAGAAACTATATTATTTTGAATGATATCTGACTTTTTTATTACCATTCCTCCATAGAAACCATTCCGTACATGTTTTCAATCTTAAGACTATCATACATCTATAGGTGTGCTTAGAAACGGACGGCTGTTAATCTTTGGAATAGATGAAAGTTTATTTACCTCTTCAATCATCAGCTAACAACATAGGATAAAAGACTAGTAGAAAAAATTCTTTAGGTTACATACCTTAAGTGATACCGTTGTGCTTTCACCCACTAGAGTCTTTTAGGATTATTTTCATGTTTGCAAAAGACTTGATATCCTGAAATCCCCCCCTAAAAATTTGAACTACAAATGAACTGACGTCTTTATTACAATGCTCACACGACTTTTATCCTAAACTGTATGAAAGAGTCCGTCTTGACCTGCAAATCTGATAGAAACTGTGGATAGTGGGATCAGTACCATCATTGTTAAGGTGAAGGGAACTTAAAATACCCCTACTTCTTGAAAGCTTTTATTCAGGTCAAACATGGTTATATTATTATAGTGCCCAGTTGCATGACTGCTGACTGACTGATTTCAGTCAAACTTAAAAACTTTTTTAAAAGAGTTAAAATAAGAAAATCTTGTGGAGTGTTCTAGGAATACCTAAAGACAAAGACCATGATTTAGTACAAATTTTATGAAAAATGTCTGAAAACACTGAACCAGTAGTATTTAGAATATGGGGAACACTCAGGTGAACACATGGTTCTTGTCGATGTAACAAATTCTTCCGCGATCCTTTGAGTTACTGGATTGATCTTAGTCCTAACAACAAACCTAGTGGTAATCCTTGCCAGCTATCCACTGTTGTTAAACACAAATCTCTGCTAACCCCACCCGGATTCCAATCCTTCCTCTCGGTCAAAACTGACGGCCGAATCGTAGAAGAGAACAACGCTTATTTAAATATATACAGAACAGAAGTCAAATATTTGAAATATTACAGTGAGTCATTCCTCAGATTTCACATCACCGACTAAAAATACTGCCTATTTGAAATATCAAATCACTTTTACGGCAGACAACTACAACAACATAAATGATTAATAATGTCAAGTCAAGGCTCAATCACTCAGCTATAGATCTGTCTCCGTCAGGCGCTGACATGTGGAAATCCAGACGAAGCTGACGAACGCAACAGAAAGCAGAGGTGGTGGTTATTATGTAGCTATATCCAGTCTTCAAGAAATCTACTCAGATCAATATGATAAATACGTGGTTGCCTAACAAAGTACACCTCAGCGCCATAAGACCTTAATCAACAACCTATGATACAATGCAATGCTAATACAATAACGCTAACTAGACTGGCCACACAGAAGAAAGTCATATCTGCCACTTCATAAAGAGCTGACCAATTTATTCTAAACCATAAATTATTCCAAACCCTCCATACAGTAGTTCATATTGAAAATCACTGATTAAAGCTTAAGAGCGATGTAGAACACACCAAAATCATGGTATTAGTGACTATGGCAATGTCATATTTAACGTAGCCAAAAATTGGGTACATCAGAGAGAGGAGGATGTCTACCACATTAGCCACACAAAGGTAGACTACACGACCATGATAGAACGTATTCGGAATTCCTCATGGCCACAACAATGGTGGGGGCTCACAGTTAATGACCACCGGGAGATGTTTGGGAGCATTACTCAAATATATTACATCACACAACGCATCACAAGCACAAAGACATATTCTGGCATAAAAAAGACAGTATGCCTGCTAAAGGCAAAGAGAAATACAGAGAGAAATATCTGTCGAACGTAACAGTTCATATTCCATTAGGTTAGTGACCAAAGTAAAACTTATAAGTAAAAGTATCTGTGCTCCCATAGGGTCTAAACGTAGAAGTATTACAAACAAATTAACGGAAGAAATCTCTATTGACAAATCTATAATCAACTAAACTAATAAGCTGCAAGTGCGGAATACTCTTTGATTTCTTTATCAGATGATGATATGGGGAATATCCGTCTAACTTTCAGTTTACTATAAAGGAAACTAAAATCCTTGAGCTGAGGAAAGTGTGGCATTTGTATGTACTGATTATTCCTTTGTACTTGATGCCCGCTGATTACGGATTCATTTCCACTCATTTAGTCCAACTTGCTGTAAATTGTACTATTTCAGTAATTCCTAGTTATTATATTAGTTCGAATACTTCTGATTGTCATAGAGATTTGCAAGGATTTGTCAATTTTCGCCTCATAATCCTGGGTGCTCCAAGTAAACGAGTACTTGAACTATTCAGGCACTAACTAAAATCCCATCAACTTCCAAACGAATGAAAATAGGTTATTAACTTCAAAACCTCAGGTGGATAAAGGAAATATCCGCCCCTTAAAAATTCATGCGCACTGTGCCCATTACTGTCTAAAGTAAGAGATGGACTTGTCCACAAAAAATGAGAAGAATCCACTAGAGCTAAATAAGGACCTCATAGGAATAAAAAGAAGATAAACAATAATATAGGATTTTATCTGTAACAATGTTGTGCTATTAACACCCAGGCCTGTGGGAAGTAAATAAATGACACTCTATTATAATCCTCTTTCTATTGTTTCCACAGAGCTCTATCTAGGAATATTAACAACAAATAAAACAAATGCCAGTTTAAACAACCCTGTTGATGCACTTTGTACAAAGGAAATTTGGTACCATTTTAGTGACTTACTTTTGTCAAACGAACGCGATAGGTTCAATGGAAACAAGTGTTATTATAACCAATTGTACCAGTGATTGTTTTACTGTGCCCATTTGTTTAACCGTGCCAATGACAGATATTACTCTCCCGTTGACTTTGAACTTGTACAAATTCGGTTACGTTCAGTAACGACGCTTGTACTCATTTGGCACGATCTCGGTATTCTTTCGATACCACGAGATCGCCAACTAATATATCTCGACTACAGCCATCATCTGCCTTCTGATATTGACCTACGGGAATTTTATTGGTTTACTGGCACGTAGTCTTGTAGTGGTGTTCATAATCAAGCGCGGCTCGACTCCACGCTACACCATCGCCTTGGAATTATTTCAGATGCTCTTTAAAAACTACGTATCAACTCGAAATTTACAATATTTCTGCGACTCTCCTTACGAGATGCATTAATCACCAAGAGCATTTACAAAGACAGTCGACGAAGCTGCGGATAAGGTTGATGAATAAATCTCTGGAAGATAGAATCCGGCACTGGCGTATTATTACTGGCTTACTTAGGGATAAAAGGTGATCGGGAATATGGAGTTCAACACAATCTTCTTATCGAATCCTCACAACCGCTTTCCTCGAGTTAACCATCGAAAACTTGTAGATGAAAGAGAAAAAACTTAAGAACCATCCGAAATTCTTTCATCAGGAATTTTCATTATTTGGTACACACTCAGCCTCTGTGGCTATAGCCCCATTATTGGCCATATCCAAGAGGAGACTTGAAAAACGCGTACTCAATCACGGATTACCATCCACAACTCAGACTAGGAGTTTCCAGATCCTACATTTCAATGCTATCATCTTATAACGTCAGTTCATTCCTATCTCATTTCTTGCCGTTTCCACATTCCTTCCATGTTGCTCAAATTCACAGTATTATCAAAAAGTTTATTTATTTACTCACACGAACAGTTGTCTTCTTTAGGCATCCGAACTTCCAATTCGTTACTTTTTTAATTGTGATCAACTACCCAAACTTCTAACTAGTAATATGTAGCTGCCAGTTTCAGAAACCCTTCATTGCTTCACTCTAAGATTACAAGATATGCAAACCCGCGAAAACTGTCAAAGTAACCAGAGCTAGTACAGTCAAGTTGCGAAACAGCCACCAATTGGATACTATCACAGGCTTGAAATCGCTTTGAAACAGTATTAAGTAGGTCGGTTTATCCCAGCACGTCAAAAACATATCGAAAGTTGTAACAGTATTTACTTTAGAAATTTGTCAAAAATAAGCTACCGCTTTTACTAAATAACAACATTATTTAAAAGAAAGCCACCAAAAGGATCACAACAAACATTTCTTATGCAAAATCTGCGAAACAAAGTTTTCACTTTTGTATGACCTTAGGAGTTTAAAACCTCTAGTTTAGTTTGAGTACACTAGTAACGCAAATGTAAGAATTTAAATTTACGCATATCTCTGAAAAATTATCTATATGGTTGGTTCTACCGTCAAATTATCGTGATATTTCAAACAAAACGATCTTCATTCGTTTAATACTTTTAGCTGAGCGTTAGCTTTTAATAAATACACTTGTATCAGATTTATAAATTACCCATATAGTTGTCAACAAAATTCACTACGGTATACGTCCTGCTGTCTGATAGATACCAAAATTGTCAGTCGAGTTATTTTGAGTTCGGTGACAATGATGGATTGTTGCTGTAATAATGCCGCTAAATGTAATCAGAAATGTCGTTCGGAAAACTGTCGAATTCTACAAGTTACTGATGACATATAGAATTTTTATAAAATAAGAGAACTTTTTGGGACAAAAGCTGCACGACGATATAGATACATAGAACTCTCAAAGATTTAAAAAGAGAGAAACAAAGTCTGAAGGAACTATATGGGAAATTCTTAATAGAAGTCAACGTCACTATAAGCGACAATGCATCACAATGTTACCGTTTTCCATAAATCTAGGTCTAAACGTTATGATTCATAAGAATCGGTTTGGTTGATATATTGTCTGATATATTAGCTCTATTAAACACTGTACACTAATCTAGGGCTCATGAAGAGCAAACCCGGTAAACGAGGTCGTATATATATATATATATATATATATATATATATATATAATTCTTCCTTTACAAGGTTTTGCAACACAGTTATACTTTGTTATTTCCGAACGTAGTTATGTCTTTTAATAGTAAAACAGAGTTGAACCCTCTTATTCGAGAGATTCTGTGATAGTACTTGTCACTGAAAGGAGTGCCGTTGAAGTGTGTCAACCTTGTAAAAACTCGAAACTCATACACTATCATCCGAGTCACAGCATGTAACGAACTATCATTGGAAGTGAAAACTTTAATTGATGATTGTTGAGGCTGTCCACTTCTCCAATTTTTTATTAAGCTTCGTTGTATACATTTATTTAAAAATGCCGTCTTTCTCTGGTTTTCAGGTGCTGACCTCTCATTATGAGATTTTATTGACTTAGAATATTCAGATGATATGGTTCTGTTTGATAAAGACTTTACATAATCTGGAGTCTTCTGACCTCTTTAAGTAATAGTTAAACCATGATAGCCTGTGGTACTTTATTTTTAAACTCGAAATGTTGGTATAGTACCTGTGTGCGTTAACGCTTTAATTAATGACAGAAAATCATGTATTTGATTTTGTCAACCACTTCACTCATTACCGAATTTTCATCAGTTCTGCTGAGTTAACTGTCTGACAAAACATAAGCAAGGATTCAGAAAGATCAGTTGCTTTTGCCAACTTTCTCTACCTGTGGTGTAGGCCAGATGTTCATCTGTCAAGCAAAAGTTGATTTACTGAGCAGCAGCTTTCTGCTCTTCATCGCTTTTTTTATGTGAAATGGGGCTACCAAAGATAAACTATACTCGTAGTTTAGTAGTATTCTACCGTAGGGGCCTTGGAAGTATTGATTACACGCGTTAGGATAGCCAAATGTTCCGTACTGAGATTAATCATATGACGCTAGGTAAGAAGGAACAAATAAGTTATGAGGTATGGAATTTTCATTAGTTGATATGGTTGAGACATGTGTTCCGTATTCTTGACCTCCAACTACTTTAACAAGTGACGATTTTAGTGTAGAAGTAGGCTGAAAGAAAGCTAGTGATGGCCAAATTAGAACATGACATCAGTTCATGAAGCCACTGGTAGTTGAACAAAGTTATGTTAGTAAGTGTAAACTACCCATCTGAGGTCCGCGTGATGATCGTAAGCAATGGTTAGGGACTTTAAATGACTCAGCTCAAAGACATTTACAATGGTATAAGTGCATCTGTTCTTTGTCCTAACATATTTTGAGTTTCTCGATTCTTCATAATCTTTATGGTGCTTTTATTTCACTAATTTGTATTTTCTCGAACCATACAATTGATGCTCAATTCTTTTAATCACTACTCGTACTAAGGTATGGTGGTTTGAATCGATTTGTACGTAAGGTCATTGACAATTGGACCACCTTATGTGGGCCAACAGGCAGATTACACAGTTGGAGTCTGCTTGATTATCATAACCAGTTGTTAGAGACGTTGAATAACACGACAATGACGTTGGTGCATTCAGTCTTTGTCCTCACCAAGCTCCCGAGTCCCAAAATCTTCTTATACCTTTTCTTTTCTTTTTTCTATAGTTAATCTTTTCTACTACCATTACTGATATTAATGCCACCTCCACAGTTCTGGAATTCTCCTCGCTGTGTGAGTGGAATGTGGTAATTTGAGTCAGGGCTAATGTATGCCATTTTCTGCGTTACATACGTCTGGTTGATATTTCAGTGGTCTACTATTGTATATATGTGATAAATTATGAGTCAACGAGTATCTTTTTATTTTTGCTTACATGCAATAGGTTGTTATATGAAATTTGACAGAATAATTTTGTGATAATTTGTTGGATAACAATTCACCATATATGCATAACTGTACAGCTTTAAAACTAAACTGACCCCATACTCGGAATCAAAACGTAATCCTCTGTCAAAATCAATATTGTAGAAAACAGTTGAGAGTTAACAAGTAATTATACTTCCCCTAGAAATTCAGTTACGCCCTAGCCATAGTTTTGTCTTCATTGCAGGAGATAATCGTAAGCACACTGTTGTATTCGAGTGTATTTTCGTGTTTCAGCCTCTTAGGTTTATTTAATATTTCTGCTTTATCAGTTAAAATAGTAGTTACGAATCAAGGACTCAACTAGGTAGACCGGCTAAAATACTTCATGAAATACTACATTCCGTCTACAGTGAACTCCTATGAATTGTTAATTAGCTTACAAATAACAATTTTTAGTGAACTAGTTATGAACAAACACATAACCGCTAATCTTCGTCATGCTATTTAACCTGGCTGAAATGTATTATTATATAGATCATAATACATTGAAGACCGGCTTATTCCAAAATCCAATATTTTTTGTATCCAGAAACCTTCACTTAATGTTGTCCATATGGTATTATTCGGTTTTCGAAATATCATGAAACATCACGGTTTCCTTTTTGAAAATACAAATAAACCAGATTTTTGTGGGAAAATATAGACATGCTATTCTATCAGACAAAATAGTTTACAGTTACTGTCGTATTTTTGAATGTATTAAAGTTTAAGTAGCTAGTTTAGTGTATTTTATCTCTAAAAGCAACTCCAAACTTAGTACTTAAAAAATTGCCTTCTAAAAGCAAGGAATGTATATCCTTATATCATAATGTTTGACGATTGTATTGATAATATAAAGACTTAGAGACCATCAGTCTTATGAAATCCCTATTCTTTACAAAAGCTTTCAATTTCCGCGTAAGAAGTTTAAGCTCCAAGAAAATTTCTCAAATAACATTGGTTAGATTTTTAACAAAGTTAAATTCTATGTGAGTAAAAATGTTTAGACACTAAGAAATTAACAAAAAAATACGGCCGTATGATTAGTAAATTCATTTGAAAAACAACGACAGAGGTTTATGGATAGGCTCAATAAAACTTAAATCCATTGGTCGCGTGAAACATTGAAATTCGACACTTTGAAATCATCAGCATGTGAAACCATGTACTCGGAAGTCACCATTAAAAGAGTGATTTATATTTGTATCCAACGTCAACGTTGTAGACATTCAGTGTTTTTGAACACTGACATCATTTCTGTTTCAAATTCGAAATCTTTCTAATATACTTTTGAATTAGTGTAACATGCGCTTCTAGGAAAAATTGTATATACTGTAGATCTGTGCTATGTTTAGTGTCCATTAATTATTATCACTTCCACGGGGTTTTGATATTCCATAACTGCCTATAGATAGGGGTACTTTTGAGTTTACCAAAATGTTCTTAAGATTAAAATGTACGTTTCTTCTACGGATCTATAAATTTTTTATAATCATAATAAAAGCGCACATGAATATATGGTATTCATTCTTTCTTTTCGTATATGCAAAAAAAGTAATTACTATGATGTCGAATAAAATTCAGTGCATAGGCAGAGAATAATCTAAAGTCTACTGACAATAATAAAATTTAATGACACTGTTCAATCCAAAAAATTAATTCTATTACTGCATGCCTTCCCTAATGTTCTAAAAATACTATTTCCGTGTAGTATATAGGCGTGGTTTTCCAAATTACATTGGTGAGAAAACATCATTGTTCAATGAAACTTAAACAAAAGTAAAACGCTGATAATTTAATTCTTAGTGGTTTGAACTATCCCGTTTTTATACAAGTAATGAGCTATATACAGTCAGTAGCTATGTGAATAACGTACTGGAGGTTGAAACAAACAGTACTAGGTTTGAAACCTGAAATAAAAGTCAACTCTGGAACCCAGATACATCTAGCTCATGAGTTCAAAGTAAGATAAAATGTGCATCCTTGATTTCACTACTAACCCAGTTAATCTATTCTATATCAAATGAGCATAAGTTTACAACCAGAGTTATATGTCCTTTTTCGGCTAAAATAAGTTACGGATATTTACCACTAAATAATTAGGAGAACTTATTTCACTAATTAGTTGAATTAAAACACCACAACTCATATTTCGATTTCCCAGTATATAAAAGAAGTCTATACTAAATCCTCCTTAACATTTTCTTATTTTCCCGCAATATACCTAAGTGCATGATCCTAATTTTACGACTACCATAATTCATCGATTTGTTAAGCTAAGCTGAATAAATAAATTCTGGAGAAGAATGGTTTGTAGTAAAGACTTCAAGCGTTATGTACTATTTCTTTGTGTTTTAATTTTAAAGTTAACATTTGCAGAATAATCTTTATGGATTATATTTAATATCGATACAATACCTACAAGTTTATCAGTATAGGGTTGTGAAGATTACTAAGTTTTTGATTGAGATCATGAGCCGATTGATGTTAGACCACCGTTAAAAACCTGAGAACATTGGACGACCGTTGCATCCTATTGTGGAACTCTTCAGTAGTGCGCATCCACAATTCCACTTGCGGGATTTAAACACATGGCCTTCAGTCTCGCGTATATACGCTTAACCTTTGAGTTTTCAATGGTGATCTAACATCAATCGGTTTATGATCTCAATCATAAACTTACAACTTTAGTAGAGCACAAATACACAGTGATTCTGGTATATCAAAATAGTTGGTAAAGACATCAATTTGATTGCTATTTCGCTGAATTTTAGTGAATTTATCCTAATTTATTATTCTGGTTCCTGGACAATACGTATAGTCGATTAGCGCACTAGAGTTTCCAACTACTGTAGCGAACAGGATACCGGTGGGGACAATCAAATGTATTTGACAAATTACAGAACTTGTTAATAAAATCTAACAATTATATAGTAAATGCTCAATTTGTAAAATAACCATCGATTTTCTTAAAATGACTCAGACCTTATTGTTCTCGCATCTTCATACAAATTTCATTCTATTTCCACTCTTTACTGTTCGATCCTCTTATCTCTCTGCTGCCAGACATTCTGTTCCTGACTAACGTCATATATTACTTATGTCGATATAAGTAGCACACATCACACTACTAAGTAGTTGAAAAAAAAATCCCTTAGTAATAAACAGTGAGTTATAATTCCAAATACAGTTTTTGAAAACAATCTTTTCTCTATACTCGGTGCTTAAATTCTGTCAAACGATTCGTTTAATTATTGACCAATATTTGTATGTATCATAGATCTTGTTTGACAACTGAACTAATATATATATATATAGTTAATATTTGCAGCTAATATTTACATTTTCTTTTCATTTAGCTTTGTCAAATTATTTAGAAATCAAATGCCAATTAAAGAGAATATAACTAATCATTTAATTGATAAAGAAGAAGATAAAGAAGAAGAACAAGAACAAGAATATCATGATGGATATCTATCACCAAATTTAATTATGTTACGTTCAAGAGGAGAAAATCTACAATTCATTACTAAATTAAATTTATGGTAAAATAAAAATTATTATTTTCATTAAATTGTTATACTATTTAAATAAAACATTCATTCCTTTTCTAATATTATAGGGGTTTAAAATTAAAACATGTTTCCACTTTAAAATGTATGCCAAATTTAAAAATAATCAATATGAGGTAATTCATAGTTCAATAATAATTTATTTTTAAAAATTTTTTATTTATAAATTTCTAGTTCAAATTGTTTACAATCACTTGAACCATTTTCAAATTGTTTAAATCTATGCGAACTTTATATACGTAGTAATCATATTGTAAATATTAATGAAGTGGCCCATTTAAAATATTTAAATATGCTTGAAAAATTATGGTTAAGTGGGAATCCATGTTGTTATTTCTGTAAATGAATGAATTAATTTATTATTATTTTAAATGATTAATTTTTATTTTAGTTAAAAGTTATGACAAAACTGAAAAACATCTATATGATTCTTCAGTAGTATATAGATGTACCGTGATACGTAATGTACAAAGTCTATTACATTTAGATCAAGAAGGTAATATAAAAGATAATTTTTTTTTCTAATTTTTCACTTACTTAAATAAGTGTTTATCCATCATCTCAATTCATTTTAGCAATTACATTAGAAGAAAGAGAACTATCAGAAGAACATGGTATTTTACTAACAGCTCCACCCCCTCAACTAACAATTGATGAACAATCTCAATCAGAAATATCCGAAACAACATTAACCAATATTAATCAAACTGATGTAGATGAATCCGTTAACACAAATAGTGTCATCGATATAACTTTAAGTTCAGATGTAGAAATGAAAAAAGATAGATATCATTTGGATTTACCAGGTAAATATAAATACTTTTTGATTGATATATTACTGAAGATTATTTCAAGCTGGTTTTAGTAATTGGTAAATAATAACTGATGAACCATTGAAAATCAAAGAGCACTGGATATTTATTTTACCCTGGTGTGAAATTCTTCAGGAATGTGGACTCAACTCTATCAGCTAACAAACCCAGAACCTTCAGTTCTTTCAATTATGTCTCCCCTTAAAGTGAATTTTAGACAAATAATTGAGAGTTGTATACTGATAGAATTCAAATACATCAGAAGTAAAGTAGTTATCCATCCAATAATAACAGCAATGATGTCACTCAATATTATGAACTGGTTAAAGTTGGGAATATCGAACAGTAGATTTCAATTCAGCGATTTCCAACTCATGATCTGAAAATCCTGGGTTTCACTTCTAGTGATTTTATGAGGAGCATATGCCACAAGAAAACATTATTCTAGTACCCCTTCCCCTTTATCTTCAATGACCACTGATTTGGTACCATTCTGTGAAGAAGAGCAGCTTTAAAGGGGGTTTTCTTCTCTTTGATTTACCTTGTCTCATCTTTTTTTATACTTTTCAGTTACGAAAAATAAATCTCAAATAAATAATCCACATAATGATATTATAAAAGATGTAAGTTAAACGGTATGTCGATTTCTTATTTGATTATTATAAATACTTTTCCTAATTTCCTCTTCCTCTTCCGCTGGAAGCTGGTTCGTTCTCTCCCACAAAAGGCTGTTGCTGAAGGTATCTAGCCAATGGATGCTGAGTATCTTGTGTAGACAGCTATTGATAAATACTTGTACCTTCTCGATGGTGGTTGTAGTAGTTCTCCAAGTTTCAGCTCCGTACAGTAGAACTGCCTTGCCGTTCGTATTGAAGACTCTGACTTTGATATTGGTTGAAAGTTGTTTTGAGTTCCATATGTTCTTTAATTGAAGGAATGCTGTCCTTGCTTTGCCAATCCTCGCCTTTACGTCTACATCTGAACCTCCTTGTTAACGATGATGATTCCCAGGCATGTGAAGGATTCCACATCTTCCAGAGTTTCGCCATCAAGAGTGATTGGATTGCTGTTCTCCGTATTGTATTTGAGGATTTTGTGTTTTCCTTTGTGTATGTTGAGGCCTACTGATTCAGAGACTGCTAAATATTATATATATATATATATATATATATATATATATATATATATATACGCGGCAGGAAAGCTCTCAATGATTATTACCAACCAAACGTCTGGGTATTTTATTAGTTCAAATCTTCCAATATTTTAGCTAGCCATATTACTTACTTCCTTAAGCCTTTTACTCCGCTTTGGGCCCCTCTGCGGCTATTGCCGATTCCAAGCCAGGATAAAAGAGAAAGGTTGGGCATGGAGTAGAAAACTAACTCACTAAAAAACTACTTACCAGCTAGACATACATTCAATAGTGAATGATTTTCAGTCTACTAATTAATTATAATGATGTACCTACTGTAATCAAAACCTTTAAATAAATGCTGACTATAGGTCCGAAGAATGATATTTTTTTTGGTAAAGTATCGTATACAAAAGCTGCTTATTCTATAGTAGAAAGAAACTATGATTCGTTTTTCCAATAGGTACTAATAAAATCATTGGAAAATTTTCTGTATGCTGAACTTCAGTGACGCAATTATTACAAGTATTCACTGAAATTGATTCATTCCATGTCTGAAAATATATCGGTTTGTTAATTTCCCACCTGTTTAATAAAAAATAAAATAGCCAATTATACTAGAGTAATATTTCAAAGTACTTATTATTTGAAAGTATTGTTTGTATGTTATGAATGAATTTGGATCAATCTCTATTATCATATGTGTATCGTGAGTGGGTACTTGAAAAATACTTTAAGTTTTTGATGGAGTTTTGTTCTCTGAGCTGAATGGTTTGATCGCGGAGTTTTCATCGTTCTTCTGAACGAAATCATCAGCACAAACTTCAGATAGAATTGAAGCATGGTTCACAGCTATGAACCACATATGGAGAAATTCGAACGCCTCACTTCTATTTGAAGTTTGTGCTGATGATTTCGTTCAGAAGAATGATGAAAGCTCCAAAACCAAATCATCCAGCTCAGAGAACAAAACTCCATCAAAAGTATTCACCTGAGCTACAAATCTTCTCCACCATCTCATAGTTTAAGTTTAAATATTCATTGTATGAAGATTGTTGCTATCACTGGAATTCAGTAAAAGGATTTTATGTGAACGTTAACTCTGAGATTTAGATGCATCCAGATAACAATAGTCAGATAAGATAGAACGTTTGTCATGCATCTTGCTGTTTTCCATTATCAAAAAATAGTTTAGTCTTAAAATTAGTTGTGAATACATAGAATATTCACAAAACTGTTTTAAAGTAATTTTGATGAGAGTATTACAATTTTACATTGAATAAACTGAGCAGTAGAAGCATAAATTAAAAACATTCAAATTACATAAAGCCATGATTTTATTCACAAACTACTACTGTGTATACACAGCTATTTCAGCCTTGTTTGTGATTCTTCAGTAGTATAGATCCTAAATCACGCGTGGCAATGAACAAGGAATGCTTGTGTTTTAAGTTAAACACCACCATTGAACTGCTGAGTTATAACTCAATTGGCAGGATTTTCAATTTTAATCAATTTCTAATGTAGTTAAATTTAGAATTCATTGAATTATTGATGTTTCTAAACTAAAACAAATGAGTTACTTGGTACTTCATGATTTTCAGTGATTTCCATGGTGATCAGTTGAAAAGAAGTAGGATAATTCGAGACATATAAACACACAAGTCATACAAAATGAATATACCTCAATGGATCTTTTTAATTATTTTATACGTGGTGTTCGCCTGAGACTGATCTCAGTTGGATTACCCTTCAAAACCATAGAACGTTGGTCGGCTATTTTGTCTTAGTATAATATTTACTTAAAGTACGCATCTATGATTATACCAATAGCCGAAATCACGACCTAGAGTTACAGTAACTGGTGCCTAAGCATTAAATGAGTGACTTCTCATTTAATGCTATACATTTCCAACTTGAAACGACTCGTGTCATTAAATGACCTTGATGAAAACTATTTAGCCTTCATATAGCTGAACTTCATAAGCTATAACTTCTCACAAGAATTTCAAGAACTCATCTAGGATCAGTCACCGATAAGCCCACTGTTATAGTTTCAACATGGAGAGTGACGATTACCATCTACAAACCAAACAATTCCTCCATAACAGTATCCTTTTTAATGCATGAATTCGAATTAAACATTTTACTAGCAATGATTTTCATAGAACAAATTCATTCGATTACTGAAGGATTTTGAATTTTCAATATCATATCCATCATCAAGTAGGTAACATGTAATCATACTCTTAAAAACATGTTGATCATTTAATCTGCATTGCATTTAACAGCTGATTCCATCAATTGAATTTCAGTTATAAATTTCCACTAATTTCTAAAAGTTTGAGTTTAACTTTCCGTCTATCGGTTTGAGTATTCCTGAAGCTTCTGCTGTATTATCATTGGATATATACAGGATGTTATGACTGATTCACTAATCTCTTTTTCACGAGCTAGAAAAGCTAACAAAACGTTTATATATACATATATATATATATATATATGTACTCTTCACTGAAATGTGTTTTTCTTTTCAATTACTTTGTAGCCGAGATCAACAAATGACATTGTCGAGCTAATCAATAACAATATCGATTCTAAGTCACCTTTTATTAAAAGAAAAGGTCGAAATAGATCCTATTTACAGGATGTCACATTAAAAGAGACAAAGTAAGTAATTGTAATTGTATTACATTTACATGAATATATATATCGTTAATTAATATTAAGTAATGTTCCAATTCCTCGTCTAAACCAGTAACCTTAATGTCATCGATTCACTGTTAATTATCATGAAGTATATATCTATTTTTAGATTGTATCATCTATCACATTCATTATTACAACATCTTATGAACTAGTAGGTGTATCTCCTAACATATTTAGTTAAAATGTCTTTATCATATAAAGACTAGCCAAATAGTAATTACAACTAATCATGGTATAAAAGTACAAAAATTATGACGAAACAGCTATTTACTCATTACCATTTACTTAAAACAATATTAATGTTATTTTTAACTAATCTGAATATATACAAACTACTTAAAGTACAGATAATTTAAGTATCCTTACAAATGTCATTGATATTACAAGTCATAAAAAGACGCGTCAATTAATATGGACCAATAATGTAATTCATGTCATTTTTATACTTTTGAATAGAAATACAATAAAAATGTCAATGGAATAATCAGTCAGTCAGAAACAATCTAGAACTTCGTATGTACGTACGTACATCAGTTCGAGTTACCATAACACATTAGCACAGAGATTCAGTTGTTGATTCAAATACCGTAGTGGTAGAGGTAGTAAAAGTATAAGCAGTAATCGGGAAGATTAGGGTTTGAAGATGTTATTTAAGGAGTATTATACAGTGAAATAAATTTGGAAAGAGGAAAAAAGAAAGGGACATGAAGAATTCAGAAGATTAGAATTTGAGAGAACACAAAGAGTAGATGCCCTTACGCCATTGCAAACGATTTTGAGCCATGTCATTCATGGTCTCTAACCATCGGTTGCTATCATCTCGTGAATCTCAACCAGGTAGTCTACACCTACCAACATAAATCAGTCCACTTGTCAGTGACTTCATGGATTTGTGCCATGTCCAATAATGTTATTATACCTGTAATGATGTACTAATGTAACGAACGAGAACACTAGTGGGGACAGTCAAATGTATTTATACACAACATCACAGAATCTCTTGGTAAAATCTGACATCCATACAGTAAATATTTCATTTGTCAAATGTTAATCAGTTGTCTCAGACTTGATTGTTCCTTCTTTTTCATACCAATCAATCTCTGTTCTCGTTCTGTTCTATTCGATCTTTTTAACCTTCCGTCACTAGGTATTTCACTTACGTTTGATGATACATACTACTTATATCTGTTGGCATTAGTAGCATAAATCACATTATTAGTAATTCCTTATAATCCGGAATAATTAAATGAATATTGGAAGAACAATCACTTGTCATACAGAATGTATACTCACTGATAAAATTATCAGTTCTGAAATACGAAAACCTCAAATAAACCAAACAAACAGACATAGGAAATTGTATTATATAGACTTTGTTGACACTTTTGAATTCTCCAACAATGATTCAAATGTATCCTATTGTGTTGTATGCTAGTTGTTTTGATGGATATAAGTAGTATGTAACATTAATCAAAAATGGGATTATTGAAAGAAGATTGAGTTGAAGAAACTAAAAAGGTAAACAGAAAAAAGTGGGAATAACAACAGAATTAAAGGAATCATAAAGCATGTAATGGGCAAGTGAAGGATAATGTACAAATTATGTATTTGATATATAGTCCTCATAATTTATGAATACAATCTGTAATTTTATATTAAACAGTAGGTTGGTTATCCCTACTAACTGTTCATCCACTTCACTAACACCTACTTATTACCCAGTCGATATCTTCTGTTACAATGAATCATCTTCATTCAAGTGAATCAACTTTATAAAACAATTGCCTATTCTAATATCTACTCATTTTTCGTAATAATACAAAAACTAGTCTTCCATCACTTAATTTAGTTTTCTTTCATGTTTACGTTTTTTTGGTAATTAAAGTAAAATTCGTCAAGAATACGGCTTAAAACCGATAAATAAGAATAAAATTTCTTCACCGGCTAAACGACTGCAATCGATCGATCAGAAAGTAAGTAGAGTTATCCAGTCAGTTAAATATCCCATCTCTTTTTTGTGTTCATTTGCGTTTTTCATTAGAATATAAATAAATTTTGTAAGAAAAATCTAAATGTATACGCTTGTTTTTGAATTAAACGAACCTTTTCATCGTAAAGACATATAGAGATATATAGATTAACCTGACAACCCGTACACACACAAATATAGCTGATTGCCAAAATAAAAAAAGATATAAAAAGTCGGTATGGTGACTTTTTTTAGATCTGAATATAGTTCACACTACTAAGTAACTTTACTCTTAAACAGTATTTGAAAAACAAGTTGAACTAAATAACTGTTTAATCCTAACATATAACTTTACAACAATATTCATCATTGACATCATCAAGGATAGAATAGAATATCTACAATATCTGAACTATTAGATTACAAAGGAATAGCTAAAATCTGAGCATATCCATTAGTAGGTTACTGGTATATTTACACAAACCAGTATTAACCGATGTGATACTTCAATTTTCATTTTCAGTTACACATTTATTTCCTATTGATTTTTGTCATTCAATCAGCTGTTTTTTTCCATCAATTAACTACAAGACACAAATAATTGAAAAATTGTAATAAAAAAAGATAATCATAGTTACTAAGATATCTTTGCTTCTGTAATGAAATATGTGTTCAGAATCAATGAAATGAATATAAGATATCGTCTATATCGACAAAAAATAAACATGCGTAAGTCGTATGCATTTGATGATATATATCTTTTAAGCACAGGTAGTGTATCGTGAAGTTATAAATTAAGTAATGCTGAGTTTTGGTAGAATTATCAGGTCAAATGTTGGAGCTATAAATTATCATCTATTGAACCAGTTAAGATTAGCTTTACACATCCCTTACATCTTGAAATGTAATACTGACCGGCATAAATGTAGGCCTGATAAAAATTAATAGTAGACCATATCAAGATACAGAATCAAACCATAAAACTAGTTACTGCCTATCTCAATCTTGTACGTAAACCAAGACTTCTTGGTTAGATCTCTCATTGTAGCCATAATCTTTGGTTATCATAATAATTGATAAAACTGGATACAGATTCATTCGTTTTTATTCTGTTCAAGGTAAAAATATGTAACATGTCATCAACACAATATGTTTTTAACTATTTAATTTGTTCATGATAAAAAGCGTAGAACTTCTGTCGGTTATTCTTAAGGCATTATGAATTAATTGTTAGTAATTTAATACTATTATGGTGTGAGCTACTTATAATCACATAAGTAGTATATAGCGATGGTCAGGAATAGAATTTATTTCAGTTGAAGATCGAGAAGCAAAGGATGGGAATGGAAAGCAATTGATTTGAAAATGCACGGACAATAAAATCTGAGACAATGGACTGATATTTGCAAAAGGAATAGTCAAGATTGAGACGATGGTTATTATTCAAATTAAGTATTCACTGTATGGTTCTCACGCTTTACTAAGATGTTCTGTAATTTTAGGCCCAAATACATTCGATTGTTCTCACTCGTGTTCTTGTTCACTGCAATATCTATACGAAAAATGATATTACAAAAATGGATAAATCCAACTTTTGAATAGTTAACATATCTCTACTTTATATACTTTCATGTCTGAGTCCTTTTTTTACCTTATTTCAAAAGTACCTCGCTTTTTTTAATGCTCTAGAACATATCAACTAAGAGAAACACGTTTCCATCCAGTATCATTGTTAATTTACGATTCTATTTTGTTATAACTTGTGTCCTCCAATTTAAGAGCAGTGAGTTATCGATCGGACCAATGACGCCTAAAACACGTGTGAGCAGTCTAGAGTCTTCAACGGTCCTGCTTTCCACCTAGCCCAGCCAGTTAAGTCCAGAACGCAAATCTCAGTCTCTACAATATGAATCATTTATTTCAAACATACTAGGTTTATATATCAACCAGACAGACCACATCATACCAATAAAATAGGAAACAACATTTATACAAGATTTGGTCAAATGTGGTTGTGAATGTGAGAGGTAGTAATTAATAGACAAGGCATAATTCAAGAATGGTAAATCGTATAATAATAGTTCATAGGTCAAAATAAAGCTCATTATAAGAGGAATATGAATGTGTATAGTTTAGTTATTTAACAATTATACGTTAAAAATTTACGCATAGTATTTGTCTATAAATGGATCCCAAAAGTTACCATTGATTATGCTTATCGGGACCTAACAATAGACAAGTAGCTGTAAATGTGGGAAGTAGTAATCGATAGATAGAGCATAACTCATGAACGGTAAATCGTATAATAATAGTTCATAGGTCAAAATAAAGCTTGTAATAAGAGTAATATGAATAGTTTAATTATTTAACAATTTTACGATTAAAAATATACGTTTAGTATTGATCCATAAATAGATCTCAAAAGTTAGCATTCATTATGCTTATCGGTCATTTTTATTTCACTGTACTTAATCAATATTATTCCTAGAAAAAAAAAATTTTTTTTTCTCTTTTTTTTTGTTTAATAATATAAAAATGTATAGAATGAGAAAATTGTACGAAATTCAATTATACATTTATTAAAATTATTGAATTATGAAAGTTTAGAAAGAATAATTCAAGCAGCTGAGAAACGTATATTACGTTTAACTAATATAACAAATCATTCAAAATTACATTCATTATTAATAAATAATGATATTATAGAAGATAATGGTAATAAATGGACATTAAATGGAACATATAATTGTTTAAATTATATAAATAATAATAAATGAATATGATTATTTATTAAACATGTAATAGATGTTTACATGATATATTATAACTATTACATAATAGACATTAAAAATGAACAATCAAACATTATTATTGATATATATATATATATATATATATATATATAGACATTCTGTTTTTTGTTGTTGTTATTGTTGTTATTTCCTCATTTAGGACTGTACTCATATTATCTCATCTAAATTGTTAAGTGTAAATAATGATTTGTGAAAAACTTAATTGAATGATGAAAATAAAAAAAATAAATAGGGTCTATAGAAAGTTAAAAAGCTTTACTATTACCCCTGTGATGATTGATTTCTTTTTTAATTTTATTTATGAATCACTTACATAAGTATTATTGTAATCAGTCATTATTTCATTGATTTTTGTATCCACATTCATTTGTCATAATTAAAGTAAATTTTATTAAAAAATCTTGATTTCATTTTCATGAAATGATATTGTATCATAAAAACAATGATAACTTGAAATGTGATTGATTAGTCGTTTCTGGTTATAGGTTCTGATATGATGGAAAGAAAAGTCAATTTTTGATTGATTTACTCATTAGGAGTTTGGTTCAACAATACTTCCATTCTGATTCAATGTAATGATTATTCAGTGTAGTATTCAATTTTGTTTTTCCAGTATGATATTTTCTTCAGTATAATATACAATATTCTTGTATTCAGTTGACATGAACTATGCTAAGGATGTGATTTGTTATATGTGATTTTATCCTAATTATTAATCAAAATGGGTGTACAATCATTAATATAAAAATGAGTGTATTTTCGACTAGGGTCGTCATCGTCATAGTGTTTTTGGAGTCAATGAATCTTCACTTATATCAATCTTTGTGTTGTTACTTTCGCATCGTGAGACTTGCCGATATCCCACGTTTCGAATATAAGTGATCAGTGTTTTTCCAGCACAACAATTGCGACGACCAAACATAACAGGTTCTTTATTGTGTAATAAATCGAATTAGTATAGATTGACTAGTTAATGATCATTCTTAAATGGTTGGTCTTCCAAAAAATCTCGATCCTACAATTTTTCTCACTTTTCTTTAAAATAGATGTATTAGAGTACTTAAAAACAATAGGAACATATTTCATAAGGGTTCTGTAAAAATATTAAACAGATGTATTTATAGTTTATAGTTAATCTTACTAAAATCATTATGTATAGATATAACATAAATCACTCAGTTACTTATATAAATCCTGTACATTTTGAAGTGAAGAGAAAAGAAAATAGTGAATCATGATCGCTCAGATTGGGATTATAGTTGGCACCTAAAATTGAAAGATAAATCCAAAATAATGTGCAATTTCATAAGGAATTTGTTGGATATTATAGTCATTTTTTAATAGTTGCGATCATGATTCAAATAAAGCTAGACCATCATGGAAAACCTGGAATTATTGGACAGCCGATTCATCCTATTGTGAGGCTCTTCAGCAGTGTACACTCACAATCCAAACACAAGACTTATCAGTCTCGCGCGCGAGCACCTACCCTTAGACCACTGAGCCAGTCGGCATCCAACATGGTTAATGTCTAACTTCAACTGACCCACGAAATTAAGTGACACATTCACCATTGTCTTCAGTGAGTTGATATCTCACAACAGACCTGGTTGAACTCTACTGGTTACGGCTTCTCAATAGAACTTCAGGATATACCTCTTGAAACCAGTCACTAGTGAGCATATGTTGATTAGTATTAGAAGAGGTTGAGTGGAGATTGTAGTAATTTCAATAGTTGAAATCATGAGTCAATTGAAGCTACACCACTATGGAAAATCTGGAAGCACTGAACTATAATAGGGCAAAACAGACATCCAATGCTTCCAGGTTTCCCATGGAGATCTAGCTTCAACTGATTCATGATTTCAACTATTAAAATGTATAATTTGTCTATAAAAAATGATGTTGATAAATAAACATCAAAAGAGGTTAATATACTATTCTTTTTCTTGAAATTCCTCTGAAAATGATTCATGTCATATTTCTTTGCTTTAAATTTAACATTGCTAAATTTAGAAATAATTAACACGTAGGTATTTATGAGTTTATTATTTCAAATTATGACAAATGTATCTTGAATAGAATCTCTTTCTCATTTTTGTCAATATAAGTATTATATCTTGTTAATGTTTTTCTAAATTCCCGTTGCCAATTGTTATATCTTATTATTTGAATGCTACTTGTTATATCTGGTCGTCGCAATTGTTGTGCTGGAAAAACACTGATCACTTATATTCGAAACGTGGGATATCGGCAAGTCTCACGATGCGAAAGTAACAACACAAAGATTGATATAAGTGAAGATTCATTGACTCCAAAAACACTATGACGATGACGACCCTAGTCGAAAATACACTCATTTTTATATTAATGATTGTACACCCATTTTGATTAATAATTAGGATAAAATCACATATAACAAATCACATCCTTAGCATAGTTCATGTCAACTGAATACAAGAATATTGTATATTATACCGAAGAAAATATCATACTGGGAAAACAAATCAAATACTACACTGAATAATCATTACATTGAATCAGAACGGAAGTATTGTTGAACCAAACTCCTAATGAATAAATCAATCAAAAATTGACTTCTCTTTCCATCATATCAATAAGTCATTTTAAACTTTAGATTATTATCTGTGCATAATCTGCTTATTAATTATATGAGTTTGAAAGAATTTCTCAAGAAATTCATAACATTTAAGGGTTATCTAGGATATATCACTCTAAGGACATTATCTTTTATTGAATTGAATTTGTATTTTAATGATAGTGAAGATACCACAGATATTAGGAGTTTGACAACGTTTTAACTAGTAACACCTTCTAATACGATAAGTACCCACCAAGCAAAATCAAAAGACAGAAGCGAGGAACTTAGAAGATATATTTGATAACCTATCAATATATCTGAGATTGTCTGATCTAATCTGGCAGTAGATGTTGTGCACGGCGTTCCCACTCGCTATCTGGTGCGGATGCATGACCGAGCGCCTTCAACTAGACAAGTCCATTAAAATTAATGTGGTCAGCATCCAAAGTCGAAAAGTTACAGAGCTATTTATTTTGGGGATTTATTTACCGCGACAAAAGCTTTATAGACTAGAAAAATCATTCTAAATCATAATGATTTCTATTTCTTTCTATAAATGAAAATTCGAATATATATATATATATATATATATATATATATATATATATATATATATATATATATATATATATATATAAGATTTAAGCTTTTACAATAAATAACACACTACAAATAATCCCTAATGAAATGTGATATTTGAATGAATTAATGATTCTTTTGTACATGTTAAATGTTTGATTTCGAATTCCAAATACAGTAATATTCGTTTGTGCTTATCTAGTACTTCTTGATTCAATTGCATTATTTCTGGGATTTTAGAAAATTATTTTTTGACGGGTTCTTGAGAAAGTTGAAAAGTGTTATATCTGAAGTATTTCAAGGACGTTCCCTAAGAATTGACACTAAAATAGAATAACTATTACATCATAAATAATAATATTTTGAATGGAATTGATAAAATAGAACTTTAATACTTTTTCAGTTAAATACTTAATCTAAATTTATTTTTATCGTTGTAGTTTCTATTGATTTTAACTAAGTCATAATCAGTGAAGTAAATGTTGAGTGTTAATCAATTATTCACTAATAGTATTGAAATGAGATTGCGTTAACATCGTAAACTGATTATGAAGACCTTGACATCTGAGAGGAAACATGGAATACAATGAATAGCTTAGGACTAATTAGACGAATTAGACTTCATAGATGACCTAGCTCTCCCATTCCATACACACGAACAAATGCATAGGAAGACAACCAGTGTAAGAGAAACCTCTGCATCAGTAGGCCTCAACATACACAAAGGAAAAAACGAAATTTTCAAATACAACACATAGAACACCAACCCAATCACACTTGATGGAGAAACTTTGGAAGATGTAGAATCCTTCACATACCTGGGAAGCATCAGATCAGATGCAGACGTAAAGGAAGAACATATGGAACTCAACACAACTTTCAACAAATATCAAAGTCAGAATCTTCAATACGAACGTCAAGACAGTCCTACTGTACGAAGCTGAAACGTGGAGGACTACCGCAACCATCATCAAAAAAGTAAAAGTATTTATAAACAATTGTCTACTCAAGATACTCAATATCCGGTGGCCAAATATCATCAACAACAGACTACTGTGGGAGAAAACAAACCAGCTTCCAACTGAGGAAGAAATTGGGAAAAGGTGTTGGAAATGGATAAGACATACATTACGGAAATCACCGAACTGTATCACGAGGTTAGCTCTAACTTGAAATCCTGAAAGGAAACAGAAAAGAGAAAGGCCAAAGAACACATTACGTAGGGAAATACAAGCAGATATAAAAACGATGAAAAACAACGACTTTTATCTGAAGTTTGTCCTGATTATGTCATTCAGAAGAACGATGAAAACTTCATGACCAAACCATCCAGCTGAAAGAACAAATCTCCATTAAAATCATCCACCTTAGCTACAAATCTTCTGAACCATCTCTTTTTTTTGAAGCAATAACATTTGAAAGTCATTAAACATTTAATAGTCATGAATAGTCTACACAGTTTTTGTGAATACCTTCTGGTTTTATTGCTGTTTAACAAATAGTTATTACTTTTAATAATTTGTTTAAATATAGAAACCTTTATTATGAAGTTGATCATGATCCTTGAATTAATATATAACCATCCAATCAATTAATCAGTCAACCAATCAATAATGGTCCGAATGGTATTTGTTAAAGTTATCCAAACTTACCCGATTTAAAATTTATCATAAACAAGTCACATATAAAACGAATACTGTTTTTAGTATAATGAAATAATTAGTATTCTAAAATATGCAAATTCTTTTGTATAACTTTTTGATATTATTCATCAAAATAAGTTAAGTTTATGCGAAACATGTAACATCGTTTAATTTACTGATATTCATAGATTCTTTATTTTGAGCCATTATAAGGCAATCACAATGGAACCTGATTACGAATTTCATTTACATGCCTACTTACGCATGTTATCCCTCATCAATGAACATAGGTCACTCACCAGAATTCTCCATCCAACCCTGTGTGGGTAATCCTTTCCAGTTGCTATTCATATTTTTCATATCTGCTTCCAGTTCTCATTGAAGTGTGTTCTTTGGCCTTCCTCTTTTCTGCTTCCCTTCAGAATTCCAAGTTAGTGCTTGCCTCGTGATGCAGTTTAGTGATTTCCGTAATATGTGAATCAAGAAAAATTAAACTAGAATGTATACGAAAAGTTTGGAAGTACACCGTGTTTATCCCATACCGTAGTGAAACATCGGAAGAAATCAAGCGGATT